GGTTAATTCCACCTGCAGTCTTGAAATTGTTATTAAAACAGAATGTGTCAGCAGCAGGTTGTGGTAGTACATGTCTATAATCCCAACTACTTAGGAAGGGGAGGCAGGATGATCTTGAGTTCAAGGCCAGCCCAGGAAAAAAGCCAATGAGAGCCTACCTAAAAATAAAAAAACAAAAGAGTTGGGAGTGTGGCTGAAGTGGTAGGGCACTTGCCTAGCATGCTCAAGGCCATGGGTTCAATCCCCGGTACTGCCAAAAGCAAAAAAATGTGTTGGAATAGTGGTGATGGCATAATTTCTCACATGTACTTTATTTCTACCACATTTTTATTAGTGCCTAAAGTATACAGTTTTTTAGTGGTGTTTGTGCCACTAGAATGTATATAAATTCTACATTTCATACTTAGTTATTTCATACATTGGTTTTGTTTTAGTTCCTTTAGTTAGGTAACTTTGTCCTGATCTCCCAGGGTTATTGGTTTAAGTAGATAGATTTAAAGCAAACAAAACTTTCATCTTCTTTCTTTTATCTTTTTTTCTTAAAAGTGCCCAGGTATTTTAGTTCATTTAAAAGGTGAAAGAATCTGCAGTTTACAAATTATACAAAGGTGTTGCTACTATAGAATTTATGAGAGGAAGTTATAGGCATCTTTGAGTATTAATATCTCAGTACCTGGCAGAAGTAACTATAGTGAGGCAAATTCTAGTTGCAAACAAGAATTTGTCTTACCTGTTTTCTTCCCCTATTTAGAGAGATCGGAGGCTGTGAAGTAGGACAAATACAATTTTCCACTGATACATTAGTATAATAATTTTTATAAAGAGGCCCAGGGGCATGAATCAGGTGGTGGAGTGCCTGCCTAGCAAGTGAAGGCCCTGAGTTAAAACTCCAGTAATGTAAAAAAAAAAAATTCTAGCTGGGCACTGAGGCTTATACCTGCAATCCTAGCTACTCAAGAGACTAGGGAATCATGATCTGAGACCAGCCCAGGCAAAAAAAAAAAAAAGTTAGTGAGACCTTACTTTAACCAATAAACTCTAGGCATGGTGTGCGCCTGTCATCCCAGCTACTTGAGAAGCATGAATAGGAGGTTTGCCATCTAAACCCTATCTCAAACATAAACAAAGCAAATACCCTAATAAAAATTTTTTTTCTTAAATAAACAAAGCAAAAAGGGCTGGGGATGTGGCTCAGGTGGTAGACTGCCTGCCTAACAAGCGCAAGGCCCAATACTACCACCACCAAAAAAATAAAGGTAATTGAAAAAATATAACTAGAACAATCGGTCTTCATCCCTACTCATTTTTACTTCACCCTCCATTTCAAAGGCTGGGGGCATGGCTCCCACTGGTAGAGTGCTTACTGAGCAAGCAAAGGCCCTGAGTTCAAACCTTCTTCACAAAAAAATAATAATAATAATTGTATTCTAGCCCCATCCTACCTCCTGGAGGACTTCATTCTCTAAATTACTCCTTTTTTCTTGGGCCTTCAGTCTCCATCTTTGCACTGGCTTTTCCCATTCAGTGTATGAACATGATGTATTGTCTTCATTCTTGATGAAAATAACTTTTTCAAGAAGCTTTACTGAGTCAAGCATGATGGTGACTGTCTATAATCCCAGCACCTGGAAGGCAGAGGCAGATATATCTCAAGTTCAAGGCTAGCCTGAACTCTTTAACAAGGCTCTGTTTCCAAAAAACAAAAACAAAACAAAACAAACAAGGAAAAAGTAAAAATGTGTTTCTGTTGAGAAGAGGTTTTTAAGGATTTATTTATTTATTTATGTATTTATTGCCATGCTGGTAGTTGAACTCAGGACTCACATGTGTTAGGCAGGCACTTTACCACTTGAACCACACCACCAACTCTAGGAGAGGTTTTTAAAAGTTTATTAATAGTAATATAGGGATGATTAATGGGTACCAGATATTTATTATCTTATTTAAATTCCAGATACTGTATATACATATACATATATGTATAAATATATGTCCATATATAAATAGTCCTTTTAACAAACCTACAAATACTTTACTGAATAAGAATGGAAGATCAGAGGGCTAACATCACTTGCTTGTCTCATGCATTTGGACTTGTATTTGATCCAGAGCTATTCTGTTTATAGTATAACAAGCTAGTCTATCTCAATCTTACAGATTTCCCTAGAGCATCTGACTGCCCCCATTGTCTTATAGCTCTCCCCCTTTTTATAGAAAAGCTTTCTTTTTTGCAGTATTGAGTTTTGAACTTGGGTCCTTAATGCTTGCTAGACAAGAGCTCTACCACTTTAGCCACAATCCCAGCCCTTTATTTTTGACGGGGTCTCACTGTGTAGTCCAGGCTGACCTTGATCTCTTAATCCTCCTACTTCAGCCTTTGGAGTGCTGGGATTACAGGCGTATGTCACCTTGCCCAGCCTTACAGAAAAGCTTTTTAATGAGAGTATTTAATATTCATACTCTTCTTGCTTTTCATTTACTTATCAACCCATTCAGTCTAACTTCCACTTCTTTACCAGTAAACATCCTCTAGAGAACAGAACTGATAGGTGGGAATGGGAGTACATGTGTGCTGAGCATATGTATATATGAGAGTATTTTAAGAGTTGGCTCATGTGGTTGTAGGGCTGGCAAATCTGTAAGGTAGGCAGGCTGAAAACTTCAGTGTTACAGAACTTGAGGGAGACTTTCTTCAACTGATTGGATAAGACTCATATAATAAAAGCTAAACTTAGTTGATTATAAATGTTAATCATATCTACAAAATGCCTTCACAACAACTTTTAGACTAGTGTTTAACACATAAAATTTACCATCACAGCTTCTATTAATCTACCACGTCTTCACTACTAAATCCAGTGGACACTTTCCATACCTTTGCTTACTTGATCCTTACACCATTTTGAACCATGCTTTGTTTTTTGAAACCCTTCTCCTTTAGTTTGGATGACACTCATCTCTCCATTCTCTTATCCCTCTGGCCATATTCCTTTTGCTCATTTTCTCCCAGTTCTTTAATTGTTTTTTAGTGTTCTTGTGATCCTCTTATTATTCTAACCCTTGATGTCTCCCAAATCTGAAACTCCATTTTAGAATTCTCTATTGGGCTTCAGACCTGTATGTCTAATTGCCTAATGAACATCTCACCTGGATGTTGCCCAGACGTCTGAAACTTTGCTTGAAATCTTATTTTCCTCTTAAACTTGCTTTTGCATCTCTTCCATTCTCTGTCTTAGTCTTAGTAGTGCCCTCTCTACCCAGGCTAAGAACCCCAGAGGAATCCTCAACTCTTCCCTTGTAGTTACTGTTTAAAACCTTCTTGTCCCCATACCTCTCAGACAACACACGTGGAATCTTGTGGTTATCCTGCTTCCCATCAGTCTCTTTTCAGCCCCTGTACACTGCTGTCAAAGTTAATGTTTTCAAAATACAGATCTGCCTCAGTGTGTTTAAATTCCTCAGTAGCTTCTAATTGCCCACAGAATTAAGATCCAATTTATTGGCAGGCAGAGGGGCCCTTCCTACTACTTTTCTCCCATGTTCCTCACTCAGCCAGCCCACTTTCAAGACACACTGAAATATTTATAGAGCCCCAGATGTGCATGAGGTTTTTTGCCTCCATGTCTTGTTCTGCTGTTTCTTGTGCCTGGCATGTCCGCTACCTGTTAACTTCCCTTCCTCCCTGCTTCCTACCATAGGGCATCAAGAAAAATTTCAAGACCCAGTTCTACCTTCTTAGTATAGCCTTCCCCAGTACCATAAATAGATTTGACTGTGCCTTCCATCTGGCATCACTGAACCCGTTTTCAGCTCTACTCTAGCACTTATTATTGAATTACTTATTTTTTTGTTTATCTGAGTATCACCTCTCAGGAGACTATGAGATCTTCAAGTATTCCACTGGCTAGCAAGTCGTACGTGAAGTTTGTGACAGGTAGAGATAGGAGTTCATTTAAATAAGAGCATGCCTCCCATTATCCAGGACTCTTGGGCTTGGACACATGGAAAGGAGAATAGTAGAGTTTGGTTATTCTCCCTTGACTTTTCTACAGGCTACTGCTCAAATTTTAGTGCCACATTCCTTTTGCTCTATACTTTTATGATTATCTGATACCTGTTCTCAGCCTTTTTTCTGCTTTTATTTTGCTTCTGTCCCTGCACCAGTTCAGAAGAAAGGACATTGTTAAATTGCTGTTGCACTCCATCACAGGAGAAATCAATTACCAGATTTTCTCATGTGATTCATGTGTGTCCCCCACAAAAAAATTCACAGCAAATAAAAAGAAAATTCATGTATAAGATAAGTATTTTCTCAATAGTTTATAAATCTTCCCTTGTCCCCAAAAATGTCTCCATACACTTAACGTCAAATTAAAAACTAAACCAATTCTACATTAATCTTGAGGGGATAAATAATGGATCATAAGGATTGTTAATAGAATAATGAAGCCTTCTTACTATTTTAAACATGAAATTTCAGGTGACTAAAGGTCCTGCTATAAACATTTGGGCCAGAAGATAGAGGAACAGTCAGCATCTCAATTTAGACCTCTCTTACTTCCTACTCTTAACTATACATGTAGAAGATACTTGTGGTGTAACTCCTTATGTACTTAAAATTTATCTGACTCTTGATTTTCTTATCTGACTCTTGATTTTCTTAGTTGATTTTTTAATGCGTGAAGAATCTACTTATAAATTCTTTGCCCATTATGGAATGTAATACCTGGTTTTGATTCTATCTGTTCCTTCTCCCTTACTTAATTTTTATGTTATTGTTTTGCATTATGTTTCTAAAATAACGATTTTGGCTTGCTTTTCCCTGAATGTTTCTGCAGTTTGGTTTGAGTATCTGACTTTGGCATCCCTCTTGAACTTGGAATTCATCTGTACTTGTGACTTTTGAAAGGCAGAAGTCAGTGTTTTCTATGAAGATGATTTTTTTAAAATATTGTATGTGTCTTCTCCCTCCCCCCTTCTTTTTTGGTTTGTCTTACAAGACTGGAAAGAAAGCAGTGAAGGCAGTCCTGTGGGTATCAGCAGATGGACTCAGAGTTGTGGATGAAAAAACTAAGGTAAGATTTTTATAAGCTTAAATGTGACTGCTCATATGATTTTTAATCCCTAATGGCCAAATATACTACCATTAAGATATTGTAGTCACTATATTCTGCCACTTTGTCCAAAGTACAGTCTTTTGAGAGACTGTTTTAATGTCAAGAAAACCAGTTTAGTTACTCATTTACCTTATGAAAAATAGAATTCTCTCAACATTTTGTTCTACATGACATAGCATATTTAATTTACTGAGCATTAACGTTTCATGTTAAGATAGAGTTCTATCACACATGCACAGAAAATCAATGCAAGTCAACTCCCTGTACAGCTATCCTTACCTCAACTAGCAAAAACCCTGGGTCCTTCCTATTATTCCTTATACTCTCTCTTCAACAAAATTAGAGATAAGGACAAAATAGTTTCTGCCTGGTAGTGAGGGATAAGGGAGGGGGGAAGGGGGAGGCAAGAGGGGGGAAGGGGGAGAAATGACCCAAACATTGTATGCACATATGAATAACAGAAAAAATTTTTTTAAAAAGATAGAGTTCTATTTTTATATGTTTTTTGAAAGTTTTTTAGTGAGAAGCCATATCTAAAATTTCTCCTTGTTCCTTAAGAAAACTATTATTGGAAGAGCTGACACCGATGGGACAGGGGGATGTTGGGGAAAGGGGACAGGAGGGTGAATACGGTGCAATAAAATGTACCCTTGTGAGTAAATGCAAAAATGATACCTGTTGAAAGTACTCCAGGAAATCGGGGTGGGGGAATGAAGGAGAATGGCAAGTGAATTCATTGTATTATACATTTGATACATTGCAATAACCTGTGTAAATGCCACAGTTTACCCCCACTCATCACAACAATAAAGGAAAAAAATAATTACATAAAAAAAGGTGTCTGTAAAGATTTAAAAAGAAAGAAAACTCTATAATTAGAAAGCATAGGTGAATTAATTAACCTGCTATTTAACTGAAAACCCAATTTAAATGAAAATTTAAGCACTAGTAAGTGGCTCTTTGCTTAACATTTACTTAGGATCCAAACAGTATCTCAGATCCTAGATAGCATTTTTCATTTGAAAAAAAGTGATCCTAAATAACTAAAGACTGAACCTAGAAACCATATGGTGTTATATTGAGTGCATTTAATCCTTAATCATTAATTTCCTGAGAGACCTAGAGTCAGGAAAATTTTTAGCAAAAAGATAACTTTTCCAAAAAAAAAAAAAAATTCACATGTCACTGGAAGGGGAGAAAGTTGGGTGAGTAATAAACAGTTTTTTTGTTGTTTTGTCTTGTTTTTTTGTTTTTGTTTTGCAGTACTGAGGCTTGAACTCAGGGCCTACACCTTGAGCCACTCCGCCAGCCTTTTTTTTTTTTTTTTTTTTTTTTTAATGAAGGGTCTTTTGTAGATAGGGTCTTGAGGAACTGTTCTGCCCAGGCTGGCTTTGAACAGCAATCCTCCTGATCTCTGCCTCCTGAGTAGCTAGGATTACAGGTGTGAGCCATCATTGCCTGGCATAAACAGTTTTGATAGGCAACTTACCTGATAACTTTTAAGTGGATCAATATAGCTGAATTTTAAACTTTTTTTTTTTTTTGGTGATAACTAGGGTTTGAACTCAGGGCCTCATGCTTGCTAGATAAGCACTTTACCACTTGAGCCTTACCCCCAACACTTTTTGCTTTTTACTTATTTTTAGAACAGGGTTCCTCATTTTTGCACGGCCAGCCTGGCTTGTGATCCTCCTATTGCTGTAGGGGGATGATAGGTGCTCACCAGAATGCCCACCTATTGGTTGGTATGGGGTCTTGATGACTTTCTGCCTGGCCTGGCTTCAAACCCTGATCCTACTGATCTCTACCTTTGGACTAGGTAGGATTATAGGCATAAGCTACTGAACCTAGCTAGACCTTTAACTTTCTATTTATGACCTTATGTTTTTCAAAAGAAGCAATAGGCTTAAAGTTTAGTGCATCACTTTTGGAAACAATCATTTTGATTAGCTTATTTTTAAGAAGTTGTATTGTTTAGGTTAGGTTTTAGATGAAATTTGTTGTACAGGGCTCTTTGTGTAGCCCAGGGTCTCTCTGTATGGCCCAGATTGGCCTCACACTCAGAATCCTGCCTCAGCAGTGCTGGAATTACAGGTATCCACCACCATCCCAGGCAAATATTTCATACTTGAAGGCCATGTTTTTAAAAAATGATGTTGCCCCCTGCTGGTTACTTGTAGCACTTGCATTCATTAATTTAGTTCTCCACATTGACGAATAATAGTAATTGGTGGCTTGTCGCCACTGGATTCATCTTCCCACCTTCATATGTTATCTCTAAGCAAGGGCTAATACAATGTTGGAATCAGTGTCTGTGATAAAATCATGCCATCATCTGCGTGAATTTATCATTGGTATAGAAGCCAAAATTTAATGTCCTTAACCTTTGAGTGAGAAACTATGTCAAATTGCCTTGCTGTCCCATTTCGCCACCCATGTCTACCTTATTTTTGATAAGTTTCCTACTTAAGAGTAACTCTTGTATACTTTCTTAGACAAAGGCATAAATTAACTGAATTATGGGTGGAGAATAAAATCTATATTACTAAGTAGAAATGATAAAAAGTACTCTTTTAGAGTATCTTCAGTATGTTTCACTTCTATCTATGGTCACATAAAGCTCCTATTGGGCCTTCCTGCAGGAAGTTATAAACTCTGAACAAAACAACCCAATTATTTGAAGCCTCTAAAGCAAGCAAATTCTGGAAGGAAGTTAATTGATACTTAGAAGAAGGAAATGGCACTGGGTGATTTCCCATTTCACAGCTGCTATCCTGAGAACAGGCTGTAGTCTGTACCACACACTGTAACTGAAACTCCAATAGAAAACTCTTAATCTTTCTGGTCTAAGAAGACTAGAAGACAAAATTTGAGGCAGAAACAGCTACTAGGAAGTCAAAGGGGAATCATGGCTATTAAAGAGCCAAAAAAGAGGGGCCCCAAATTCTATATATAAATTCCACTCCAATCTTTGATTCCTTAGCAGTGCATGTGTGCCACTGACTTCAGATAGCCTACTTATTGATATAAAAGCTAAGATTTGAGCTGCTGTCCAAAAGGTGGAGTTATCCATTTGCATATAATCAAACTAACTACCTACTAGAACCCAAAATATCAATTCCAAAGAATATAATAGATTCTAGACTTTCCACATGCAATATCCATAGTGTCTATAATGCAATGCAAAACTACTTAGCATACAAAGAAACAGAAAAGTGACTTATTCTCACAGAAAACAAGACATCCGACTTCTAGATGATCTAGGTTGTTGGAATGAGCAGACAAGAATTTTTAAAACAGAGCTGGGCATCAGTGGCTCACACCTATAATCCTAGCTACTCAGGAGGCACAGATCAGGAGGATCTAGGTTCCATGCCAGCCCAGGCAAGTAGTTCACAAAACCCTGTCTCAAAAATACCCAGCATACTGGCATTTCTAAAATCACAAAAGATTAGTTTTTGTAATTTTATATTTCTCTAAAAAAGTACACTAGATGAACCCAATGTAGACAAGATCAAATAAAGTTTGTGGTACAGGAAAAAAAAATACCCAACCCAAAAAAAGGCTGGTGGAATGGCCTGCCTAGCAAACATGAGGCCCTGAGTTCAAATCCCAGTACTGGAAAAAAAGAATTTTAAAACAGGTGTTAACAAGATAAAAGTGAATGCATACAAGGGAGATATGAGGATAGGTAAGACATCTAAAAAATTAGCTAGCATTTGTTGCCCTCAACACAGAGAAACTAAAGCAGATACCTTAAAAGCAACTGAGGCCAATAAGAGAAGGGGGCCAGAAACTAGAGAAAAGGTTAGTTTGAGAAGAATTAGCCTAGAAGGTAACACACATGCACAGGAAATTAATGTGAGTCAACTCCCTGTATAGCTATCCTTATCTCAACTAGCAAAAACCCTTGTTCCTTCCTATTATTGCTTATACTCTCTCTTCAACAAAATTAGAGATAAGGGCAAAATAGTTTCTGCTGGGTATTGAGGGGGTGGGGGGAGAGGAAGGGGGCGGAGTGGGTGGTAAGGGAGGGGGTGGGGGCAGGAGGGAGAAATGACCCAAGCCTTGTATGCACATATGAATAATAAAAAAATTAAATAAATAAATAAAACAGGTGTTAATAACTATACTCATTGACATAAAGGAAAATATGCTAATATTGAATGTAAAACTAGAAAATCTCAGAGAAATTATGAAAAAGAACCAAATAGTAAGTCTACAGTACCTGAATTTAAAAATTCAGTTGTTAGTTAAAAAAAAGCAAAATGTAGGACAGCATATATTATTGTGCTAATTTGTGTAACAAAGGTAGTAGGAACATGAAATCATACGTTTTTGCTATATTTGCAAATAAACGAAAATCATTAAATATAGTGGTTTATATATATTGCCAAATTGAACATAACATCTATCATGAAACAGACCTAAAACTAGAACTAACTAACATGTTTTAGAACATGTCGGTGAGTTGAGGGAACCATCCAAGCAAAGTGATGTCTCCTAAGTCAAATGCTCCGTACTCAAACAACCAGACAGCTCTAGCTATTCCACAGTCTTGTTGCATTCAAGTGGGGATTCCGTATTATGAGAGGAACATCATGTTTATTCTGAGAAACCTAACTCATAAGTACCCTCTTCCTTTGTGCTTCCCATTTTCTAGGACCTCATAGTTGACCAAACAATAGAGAAAGTTTCATTCTGTGCCCCAGATAGGAACTTTGATAGAGCCTTCTCTTACATATGTCGGGATGGCACCACCCGGCGCTGGATCTGTCACTGCTTCATGGCTGTCAAGGACACGGTGAGTCCCACAATGTGTGTTCTGTCATGAGGGTTCTCAAGAAGCTGAGTTCCTTCAAGGTTGTCTCAACCAAGCAGTTCCTACTACATTTTAAATAAATACGTGATGCTAAGTCTCCTCTCAGAGGTGTCTTTTGTGTAAGATTTTGTTCCTTTAATTCAAGTAGTTCACACTCTTGGTGTGACCCTGTGACTTGGAATTCACAGAGCAAAGTGATTGGCTGAGATCCAAGGTCATTAAAGGAAAGTAAAACTGCCCTGAGGGGTTGGGGTTATAGCTCAGTGGGAGAGGCCCTGGTTCAGTCCCAGCACCAAAAGGAAAGGAAAGAAAAGAAAGGAAGTTGATGGACGGAGGGACAGAGGGAGGGAAAGACACTGGTGATGGTAGTTGCTAAACTATAGGTAGAGCTTTTCGTTATTGGAAGTATTTTCAAAAAAGAATTTTTTTTTTCTGTTTCAAGACTGAGGTCTGTGTTATCCAGGCTGGCTTGCAATCCTCCCGTCTCATCTGCCCTGGATTTTGGACTCAGGGCCTTACATTTGCAAGGCAAGCACTCTACCACTTGAATCATACCCCCAGCTTCTTTTGCTTTTATCTTTTTAGTTCCTTTTTTTTTTTTTTTTTTTTTGATGCGACTGGGGTTTGAACTCAGTGAACTGAGGGCTTTGTGCTTGCAAAGCAGGCACTCTACCACTTGAGCCACACCTCCAGCCCAGGTTATTTTTTTAAAATAAGGTTTCAAATTTTTGCCTGGGCTGGCCTGAACTGTGTAGGATGACAGGCACACACCACCATGCCTAGCTTATTCGTTCAAATGGGTCTCAATAACTTTTTGCTGGCCTCAAACCACAGTCTTCCCAATCTCTACCTCCCAAGTAGCTGAAATTATAGACATTAGTCTTTCTGCCTGGCCAGAATTTTTTTTGTGTGTGTGGGACTAGGGTGTGAACTTGGGGTTTCTCCATTGCAAAGCAGGCACTCTACCAATTGGGTAGAAATGGACCTCCAGTCCATTTTGCTCTGGTTATTTTGGAGATGGGGAGGGGGTCTCAAGAACTGTTTTCCCAGGCTGGCTTTGAACCATGATTCTCTCAATCTCAGTCTCCCAAGTAGCTGGGATTATAGAATTACAGATGTGAACCACTGCCAGCCAGAATTCTTAAATGTGGTTGTTAACATGTCTGGGTAGAAGATACTGAAGTTAAAAGGTACTTGTAAATTGATTTAGTAGCAAATAGGCTACCACAAATGAAATAACTGAATTGGAGTATATTTTCAATAAATTAAAAAGGCAGAAAGAAATAACTACAATAGAATAAACTATGCTAGAAATTGTTGCATGGTAAAAAATTTTTATTCTTATTAGCATGTATCAGTTGTACATACTGTGGGGTTTCATTGTGATACTTCTATACATACATGCGGTTTGTGTGTGTGTGCTGCTAGGGTTTTTGTTTTGCTTTGGCAGTACTGAACTTTGAACTCAAGGCCTCATGCTTGCTAGGCAGGTACTCTACCACTTGAGCCATGTCCCCAGCCCTTGGTGTTAGAGGTTGAACCCAGAGTCTTGCACATGTGAAATAAGTGCTGTGCCATGGAGCTACACCTCAGGTGGGGCAGACCTCTGACTGATATCCTCCTCCTACCCATGTCTGCTGCCATAGCTGGGATTATCTGCCTTATTTGTTGAGAATGGGATCTCACTACATTTTTGCCTGGACTAGCCATGAACCAGTCTTCCCAGTCTCTGCCTCCTGAGTAGCTGGGATGACAGGCATGTACCACCATGCTTGCTCTGTTTTGTTTTGGTTTTTTTGCATTTTTATTATCATATATTACTTGTACAGGGGGGTTTCATTGTGATATTTATATATGTGCTTACAATGTATCTCAGGATCCTCACCATCACTACCCCCAGTTCTTTATGTTTAAAAATAAGGCATGATATGGTGGTGCATGCCTGGCGTCCCAGTACTCAGGAGGCAGAGGGAGGAAGATTTTAAAGGTCAAGGCCAACCTGGCCGTGGAGTCATGGCCAGCCTGGGATACATTTCAAGAAATGTAATTATATACATTTCATTTGTGTGTGTGGAGGGGTGTGGTGCTAGGGGTTTTGTTTTGTTTTTTTTGGCAATACGGAACTTTGAACTCGGGGCCTCATGCTTGCTAGGCAGATACTGCTCCAAGATAAAAGAGAAAATAATTCTACCTTTCATGTGAATTATCCAAAATTCTGATATGAAAAACGAGTCTCTAAGATGACAATGATCTTACTACATATAGCAGTTAGCATGTAATTTCTGGGTTTTTAAAAGTCCAGATAAAATAAGGCATTTATAAAGACTACAACTGTATAAAACTCTTGCCAAAGTTTAACCTGGAAAAGAAGTGGTATAGACATCACCATGCTCTAAACTGACCCAAAGATTTTTTAAAGCTCTTTTGAGACAATATCAAAACAAATTTTAAGAGTTTAAGTCTTGAAACTGAGGTTCAGTCTTGGTTTTGGTTCTTACTAGTTGTGAGATATGGGGCAAGTTATTTAACATTCTGTAAGTCTTAGTATCCATTTCTATAAATAGAAATCAGTATTGCGAAGACTATAAGCAGATTTAACATAGATTCTTTCCAACAGTAACTGCTTCAAGAACTAGAGCTAATATTATCAATGCTGAGGTACTTTGAAAATGAGTTAAAATAACTAAACTATTCTTTTTTCATCTCTCTTTCTCTTAGACACTAAGAAAGCCACAAAAACTGTGTATTTTGTTATCACTACACTCATAAAATCCAGAGTTCAAGAATATCCCAATATTAATTTTAAAACCATTTTATTGTCAAATCATGGTCCTGCAGGCTGTTTGAATCTCCTAGTTTCACTATATCAAAATCACCTGGTGGGCTAGGCCCCTCTCCCAGAATTTTTCATTCAGCGAACCTGGGGTGGGCCTGAGAATTTTCATTTATAACCAGTTCCAAGATGATGCTGTTGGTGGGGGATGAGGTCATTCTTCAAGAACTTCTGTACTCCTGGAACATAGTAAAAGTTCAATAAATGTTAACTATTATTATTGCTATTATTGTTATGATTACTGTTTTTCAGGTGAAACAGTATAGCCAGTTCTAGTTTTTTCATAATTTTATTGAATGATTATTTATAGGTAAGGTCTGCCTTTTTTCTGAGCTCTGGCTATTATTAAATGTCATTTTTTTGTAGTTGGTAAGTACAAGAAAATTACCTCGTGGAGAATGTGCTTATGTAAGAGGAAACTGAAATACTTCAGTCTATAATTTATGTTCATTTGTATCTGCACAGAATAAAATTACTAATTAAGAGAACTAGTTGATGATAAAAAGTAAGTTTTAAACATAATAAAACACCAAATCATTAAAAAAGAAGAATTTCTGCCCTGACCTAGGAGAAATAATAAACCTCCTTGGCCTATAGCTCTATCCTTACAACAGAGCTGTGCTTAAATGCAAACAGGCCCTAAGAATCTCTCAGTACTCTCCACCCCTTTTCATGATTTAGCACCCTAGACATCATCCTGCTGGGAAGTTAGAAACTTGTGTGAACTCAGAGTAGTCTATCATTCTTTAAATAAGCAGTCAAAAGGTTTACAGTCATGTAAAATCTTAGGGACAAGATTTCTAAGTATGACCTCTTTTCTGATATCTGATACTGGCATGTAAAATCCAGTGAAAAGGCTTATTCACAGCCATATGTCAGAGCAGCTGCCCACATGGTATGATTTTGAGAATGCCACAAACGCCTCCCTGTTCCCAAATATCTCTTCTCACTATGAATGATGCCAACAGTTATTAAGCAGTTTTTAATTGTGCAGTTGGGGATATGATTTAAAATACATAGAACCCTGGTTAAAAAAAATAATAACCAACTGAATTTGTTAAATCAACTCTGGGTAATCATGTATCTATAAAGCAGTGTTTGGTTTCTAAGTAGAGAATGTAAATGAAAAGATGCTTTTACTTTTGCCTGTGAGATTGGGTGGTAAAGTTAGTGAGAGACAGCTAGAAGAAAAGGGAAGGCATAAGAGAAAGTCTAAAAGCACTGAAGTCCATAGATGGGGAAAGTTGTGAGGGGTGAGGCACTTAGAAAAGGGAGACAGAAAGCTAAGCTTTCCTTTGATTCCCTAGGCTGAAGGCCTGACAAAGACATCCTGACAGGAGTTATATTTATCAGAAATTTTGCACCTAGACATGTTGGCGATGTATTTAAGTTCCTGTCCTCTATAATAGTTTCTTAGAAATGTGTAGTAAATATTCTTACTAAGTCTCCTTTTAAAGGGCAATTGGAGGTTTGCTCAGAAAGGCTTAGAACCTTGAGCAGTGTGTAACCACAGCTGAGGTGCCAGAGGGAGCCTTAGTGAAAAGGAGGTCCTGTGGCTGTTCACAAAAGCACAGGTTGCTGAAGATCACTTTACCAGAAGCCTGTAACAATTAATATAATTCAAGTATCTTACAAACAATCTAAGATAATTTATTCATTTAGATTAATTTGGCATACTAATATATAAAACTTAATTTTAAGCTGGAATTTAATTTGTCTTGTGCAAAAACAGATGTATTTGTGATTGTTGGTACTGTACTCTAAAAAAGCTTTAAAAACCTGCTCTTTGCAGGGTGAAAGATTGAGCCATGCAGTAGGCTGTGCTTTTGCAGCCTGTTTAGAGCGTAAACAGAAGCGGGAGAAGGAATGTGGAGTGACTGCTACTTTTGATGCCAGTCGCACCACTTTTACAAGAGAAGGATCATTCCGAGTCACAACTGCTACTGAACAAGCAGAAAGGGAGGAGATCATGAAACAAATGCAAGATGCCAAGAAAGGTACACTCTGTTCTATGATGTGTGTTTATTTAATGCAGTTTTCCCCAACAGGTTAATATTTTAAAGCTAGCAGGAACAAGGTTTCTCACAGTCAGAACAGCTCAATGGGACTGGTAGAATAGCTCAGTGGTAGAGCATTTGCCTACCATATACAAGGCTCTGAGTTCCACCTCCCCCACAAAAAGAAAATCCTTAGCAATATAGGAAGATCTTAATAACAGAGCTGAAAATCTTAGAAAAGTGCTTTCCTAATGGGTTAAAAACCATTTACTCTTTCCGCTATAGTAAGCTCCTCTGGGGAAGATGAGTGTGCAGTTGAAGAAGCTGCAGAAACACTCCTTCCTGGCCCCATCCTGGAACAGAATTTTAATTCTGATGTGATCACAGGCCTACATCTTGAAGGAAGAAGCACAAGCCTCAGGGTATAGGGCTGCAAAAGGAACACTGACTATGATGCTGACAGATTTAAAGTAATATTGTGTTGATTAGTTACTGCTGTGATCTCTAATGCTTTAGTCACAAAAGTCTGTAGATTTTGAGAGGCCGGTCTCTAATCTCCCATAGCCCTGTTAATTTTAGTGTGTGGTTTTGTAGAATGCGAATTTTTTAGATACATACAGTATCATGGCAATAACACCTGGACAAACATTGAAGTTACTCAATAGTCTGTAAAGCTGGGTTAGGTATATTTTAAAACTAAATAATAGTGTTGAGGAAAATGCTTTGCATTCTTATATATAGGTAGGGTGAGACCAACAAGAAATGCATAAACAATTCAGTAGAAAATGAACATGAATATAGTTGTGGTAATGTTTTACCGTATTTTATTTCTAAACTTGACATTTTGGATAACATCATTAATCTAAGTACCAAAACAGTGCTGATTCTTAAGTCATCCCCATATATTTATTTGAAATTATTGATAGTGATGTGGGGGGGTTGTCCTCACTGTGTTGCTTAGGCTAGCTGAACTCCTGGGCTCAAGTAATTCTGCCTCAGCCTCCCGAGGACTGCAGCACACACCACTGCACCAAGCTAATAGTGATTTTTTTTTTATCATTTTTTGCAAACACTTGTGCCACTGTACCAAAGAATAAAAAATATACTGGCCAGGCACGAGGATGCACACCTGTAGCCCAGCTACTCCTCAAAAAATAACAACAAAAAAAATCTTGCTATCTTTACTAGAAAATTTAAATTTAACATGTATAGCTATTACAAGTGTTGTTCTTTAGTGACTTTCAGACTGAAAACATACTCTTTTTCTTTTTTTGTGGTACTGGAGATTGAACCAAGGGCCTCACACATGCTAGGCAAGTACTCTATCAGTGAGCTACATTCTTGAAAGCACATCTTTTAATACCACCAAATAATATTGTTATACAGAGCAACTGACAAAGAAATTGAGTCTTAAGATCTACAAAGATTGGGGTAGAGATTTGCCACAATCAGAATAGGACTCAACTGCTACTCAAGTGAAACAATTTTATATTCAGGATTAATACAGTTTTAAATTTCCCATCTGCATTCTTTTATTCAAATGGACCACAAATCCATATTGTCCATGATTTAAAGACTGTGCTTTATAGCATTTATGACACCTACTCAAACTTAGGCTTCTTTAGGTCTTTCTGACTTTGCCATTCCCAAAGGCATCCCTAGCCCCCTGTAAACAAACAAATACTGAAAACCATGAACCATCATTCTTCAGAGGATCTCACATGAGGAGTTAATTGGAACTGAGTTTCTTAACTCTTGTTCATCATTTTAATTCATAAACCACTGAATGAGAATAAAAACTTGTGCTGGGTGCTGGTGGCTCATACCTGTAATCCTATCTACTCAGGAGGCAGAGATCAGGACCATTGTAGTTTGAAGCCAGCCAGGACAAATAGTTCGCAAAACCCTATCTCAAAAAATCCATCACAAAAAAGAGCTGGTGGAGGACCTCAAGGTGTAGGCCTTGAGTTCAAGCCCCAGTATTGAAGAAAAAAAAAGATCTAATATTTGTGTCTTAGTAGATATCTCATCTTAATCTGTCTGAAAAACGGGATTTGAACTCTACTTCCAACCTATCTTTTAAGAGACGTTGGGAAGGAGATGAGTAAAAGAATAAGAAGACTTTGAAAATCATTACTAAGGTCTGCTTTCTCCTAATTTTCTTGAGCTGAAACAGATAAGACAGGTGTTGGCTTACCAGTGGCCCCTGGCAATACCACGCCATCCCCATCCTCCCCCACCTCTCCCACTCCCGATGCCACTGCCTCTCTGGAGATGAACAATCCTCATGCCATCCCACGCCGGCACGCACCAATTGAACAGCTTGCTCGCCAAGGCTCTTTCCGTGGGTTTCCAGCTCTCAGCCAGAAGATGTCACCCTTTAAACGCCAACTGTCCCTACGCATCAACGAGTTACCTTCCACTATGCAGAGGAAAACTGATTTTCCCATAAAAAATGCAGGTAATGCAACATGCACCTGACTCACCAAGCACTCTAGCACTGAGGTTTTGTCATCATTTCCAGTAGCAACACAAATTCTGTTCAACTAGGCACTTCTCCCTCTCAGGCTGGTTGATAGTTGTATCATTTCCCATGAAAGAAAATTAAGGTCTGTGGAGGGGATGGTGAATCATTAATTTCCCCTTAACAAATAGATGACAGAGCCATGATGAAATTTCTAGCCTAAGCCACAGGTTTGTGGTTTGTCCAGATGTAAGCACGCTACCTCTCAGCCAACCTGTTCTCCAGACATCAAGGGTTTCAGGTTTCCATTCTTATTCTACTTCTTAGGACCCAGGAGAGAATTAATTAAAGAGGCATTAGAGACTCTACAGTTAAATACCACCACTGGCAGATGTGCCACAAGAAATGGATAAGTATTCGTTGTTCTGGTGGCTGGTTGGCTTCATAGGGAGGAAACTCTAAATGGGTCTCTTGTATAAGTCTAAGATCTGCTCACATTTACTCATTACCTTTTAAAACTGCCACACAGGCCCTTATATGGCCTCTATTCAGCTGAGATAGCTCCTAAGCTCTATTGTCATCATATGATCCAGAACTAAAGTGTGAGATGTTGTCAGTGCTTTTATTGGGCCCTATTTTACTTCCCTCTGAGACATGTCTAACTACTCCTATAGCAGAATATGATGAAACTCAGTCTCAAAAGGCACTCCCACTGGCAGTAGTATAAAAGTACAGAGGTAAGTTCCTTTGATAGATGAAACAAGGCTGAGAGAATAGTTGGACTAGATGATCTCTGAGGGTCTCTTCAGCTTTCAACACCTTTAAAACCTGAAACTCCAGATGTTTCAAGTACCTTGTTCAGTCCCCCCGTGGGGCAGATGCAGAATAAAGTCTGTTATTCTCTTTTCACATATGAACAAAGGTTTAGCAAACAGTTAGCTTCCTCAGTGATACAAAAGTATCCCAGAGTTAGTTTTTTTCTATTTGTTTTGTTTTAGTTCTATAGGGATTTAAACTCAGGGCTTTGCACTTTCTAGACAAGTGCTCCACCACTTGATTCCAAACCTTTTTGCTTTAGTTATTTTTCAGATAGGGTCTCATGCTTTTTGCCCTGGTGACCTCTGACCATGATCCTCCTACTTATGCTTCCTACATTGTTAGGATTTACAAATATGCACCACCACACCCAGCTTGCTTGTTGAGATGAGGGTCTTGCTACCTGTTTTTTTTAAGAGATACAGTCTCACTGTTACCCAGGCTTGCCCCCAAACTCCTGGACCAAAGCAGACTTCCTGCCTCAGCCTCCTAAGCAGCTGGAAGTAAAGGTACCCACCACCTTGCCCAGCTTCCCAGAGTCAATATTAAAAACAAAGACTTTAGAGTTCTATATGTCATCTCACTTTTCTTGTTATCATGGATCATATACTTGGCCTTAGAGACTTTGGAGAAAATGAGAGTGGTGACAATGTCATTGTTTATTATAGAGAAAAGCACTGAGCATTCATTGGTGCCCCAGACATAGTCCCATTTTTCTGATAAAATTGCTTAATGGCTCCAGAACTTAACTCTGACCACAACCTTGAGAACTGGTTGGAAGACAACCCAAGTTGCAGATGTTTTCCAAAAAATCTAGCTAGCCAAACAGCTTCATGTAAAACAAGAATACCAAATTCCCAAGAATGTCTTAAGAAGACAAATTTGGGGATTATCAAGGAAAGATCTAAGTAAATGAGTTGACATTTTATACTTTCCCATCTGAAAAGCCAATGAAATGCTGGCCAGTAAGTTTTTTAAAACTACTTTTGTAGCCCAGACAGTTAATTGATCTTTTTCTTTCCATAAATAAGAAGTACAGTATAGGGCTAAGGTAGTGGCTCAAGTGGTATGGGTTCCATCCCCAGTACCTGAGAGAGAGAGAGAGTGAGAGAGAGAGAGAGAGAGATCAGCTTGTATTATAGTGTCATATTTTAGGATTATTCCATTTTTCTGCCTAGAACCTTTTTCTGTTTGTCTTGCAGTGCCAGAGGTAGAAGGAGAGGCAGAGAGCATCAGCTCCCTGTGCTCACAGATCACCAATGCCTTCAGCACACCCTCTGAGGATCCCTTCTCCTCTGCCCCAATGACCAAACCAGCGACAGTGGTGGCACCACAATCTCCTGCCTTCCAAGGTTGGTGCCCTCTGACATGCTTCACTGTCCTCCTTATAAAATGACTGTTCACTAGCTATAAATTGGCACCCTGAGCTTCCCAAGAGCTGGTCAGTCCCATTATCAGTGTCTTAGATTCACCAATTTCCCTATTCATTGGTGTCTTTGTGCTTTTTCCCCCTTCCTATTTCCTAAGATGTCTGCATTCATTGATTTGCATGCACCTGCCTGCCTTCCATCTGCCTCTATCAGTAGTTTTCTAACCCCAGTCCACTGCTTTGCCATTTGACTATGAAGGGTCAGAGTACCCAATCAGTATTCCAGAAACAGCACTCATCAGGATTGGTTCTGGCATTATGCTTTCTTTAGCACAGTGGTTCTCAACCAAGGGTAATTTTGCCCTTTAGGGAAAATTTGGCATTAATTATATGGAGACATTTTGGGGTTTCACAACTTGGGAAGAGGGTATTTTTACTGGCTTCTGGATAGAGGCTAGGGATACTGACAAACATCCTTCAGTGCTTAGGACAGCACCCACAACAAAGAATTATGCAGCCCAAATGTCAATAGTGCCCAAGTTGAGAAAGCCTGGACTCACCTACTCTTTGCCCTGTTATAGAGGCTCATAAGAAAAAGGCACTTCTTTGGGCTCTCTAGTTGATCTTGTATAACAAGTGTCCTAAAATTTGCGTTTGTGGCATTGAAGAGTTATTAGAAATTGGTTTTTTTTTCAGAGATACTGAATTAATAGCATTATGTCAGAGAAAACAAAGAATTTATGTGACTTCTAAATCTGAGCTCCTATAATTGCCTTTTCTCCATTTCCTTTTTTTTTTTTTTTGTGGCACTATGGTTTGAACTCAGAGCCTCATGCTTGCTAGCAGGCACTCTACCACTTGAGCCATTCTGCCAGACCTCTCCATTTCTTTTGAGAGAGTTCTCAGAGTAAGTTTTGCCCTAGAGAAGGTACCCTGCTCCTATTGGAAGAAACTACTATATACTTTTAATTCTGGAGATGAGCCGCCATCTCCCTCTCTCTGTTTCTGAAGAAATGTTTACAGTCATGTACTTCTTATGTCATCAAATGGCTTTTCATCTCATCTAACTAACAAACATAACACTAGAAATAACAGGCATAAGGTATCCACTACTTAACACAGTACCTGCCACACTGTGGTAAGTACTCATGCAGTTTTTCATTTAATCCCCACAACAACCCTTGGAGGTAGGCATTACAGATGAGAAAAATGAGACTCAAAGAGGTTAGGTAAATTGCCTACATCATAGAGCCAGGATTTAAATTCGGATCTTTCTGAATATTGTACCCGTTATATTCTACTGATCCTTCTGTTTACAAGGTATTGCACATACAAAATTGAATAGAACATATTACTTTCTCTGCCTTTAAGGAGCCCCCAAGTCTATAGGTGAAGTACTTTTTTTAGACAAACCCTGTGTAAATATTACCAACACCAAAGAAATATTACTGAGCATGGTTGCTCAGTCCTAAAGAGGAAGTATTTATATTGTACGGCAAGGAATGGTACTTGTCTACTCCATACTAACTATGACAGAAAGAGAGCTGGGATAAGGACTAGAAAGTGATAAAGACATCTGGAGTAAAAGAAACAAGGGTTAGGAGATTTTAATAAAGGGAGATGAGGAAATAATACTAAGCACTTTAAGATATGAACATTATGAGGGGGGAATCTTCAAAAAGAGATACATAAAATTAGTTCTGTAACAAATTACAAATTTATTAAGCAAATGACAACATTTGCCAAGTTTGATTTCTTATATGTTATATGGGAATAATATAGTAGTTCTCCTTATTCATGGTTTTTCTTTCCAAGATTTCAGTTCCCTAGGATCAACTGCTGTTCCAAAATATTAAATAGGAAATTCCACAAATAAACAATTCATAAGCTTTAAATAACTTTTATTATAGTATGTTGTATTCTATTATTGTTATTAATCTCTCAGTGTGCCTACTATATAAATTGAACTTTATCATATAGATACATATGTCTAGGGAAGAACATAGTGCATATAGTATCCAGTATTGTCCAAGGTTTCAGGCATCTGCAGAACATCTGGGAACTCATTCCCCAGGGCCAGCCTTATGTGGCTTTTGAGAAAATTAAAATACTGTTAGCCTGGTGCCCAGCACCTAATAAGAAATCATTATATTTGACCTATTATTATTGTTGGCATAATTTGACCTTTCAGAAAAGTATAGAAGAATGAGATGCTTTATTACGTAATTAAGCCAAAGGCTAAGTTATATCTGGAATAGTTTTTTTTGCTGCTCATAAAAACAGCTTTGTTCAACTTCATTTGAATTTTTTTGATAGGCTTCATTTCCCCTCTTCTCATACACATATTTTCCCAGGAGAGTCACTGAACTTTATCATACAATTGCTTTAATTACAGCTTCTAATTCCTTCTTTGCCAAAAGGCATGTATTGTGTATGCACTGCAAGATAGCATGGTTATCCCAACATTAGCTGTTTTGTCTTGCTGTTCTATCAATATTGTACCCTGGCCTGACTGACCCAGCTTCATGGGGTCGTTTGTACACCCTGCATGAATTAACTCCACTGATGTTGTCTGCTCCCATTGTAGCTAATGGCACTGACCCAGCCTTCCATGTGCTTACTGCTAAGCCAGCCCATACTGCTCTAGCACCCGTAGCAATGCCTGTACGTGAAACCAACCCTTGGGCCCATGCCCCTGATGCTGCTAACAAGGAAATTGCAGCCACACATCCGGGTAAGGTGGCCGCAGATGGTGGTGAGGATTCTGGGATCAGATAAATCACCCTGGTTCTAAAATCAGCCAATTACCTGAGGGGAACTAGGGAAGAGTCCTTTTAGGAAAAGTGTGTTCCTTCCTGGAAATAAACTGTTATGAAGAAAAGAACTGGAGGCTTGGCTCAAGTGGTAGAGCACCTGCCTAGGAAGTGTGAGGCCCTGAGTTCAAACCCCAGTACCACCAAAAAAGGCGGGGGGAGGGGGAGTGATGAAGGGAACAAAATAGGTTAGATTGATAGTTCTTAGGCCTAATAGAACAGAACCATCCATAGAGCTTTTATAAAACACAGATTCCTCAGCCCAGTCCCAGAGAACTCATCACAGAATTTGGCAGACATACCTATAAGGAAGAGGGAACCCTGCAATGGCAAGCCTACCAAAGGTGCTACAAAAAGCCCTTTTTATTCTTTGCTTTTCTGTGTTTACTAGTTTTTCTGTAATGAACATGTATTTATTATAATACCAAAGTGTTTTAAAATACTAAACTTTACCAGGTGCCAGTGGCTCATGCCTATAAAATCCTAGTTACTCAGGAAGTAGAGATCAGGAGGATGGTGGCTTAAAGCCAGCTGGGGCAAATAATTCACAAGACCCTATCTCAAAAAAACCCTTCACAAAAAAAGGGCTGGTGGAGTGGCTCACAGTGTAGGCCCTGAGTTCAAACTCCAGTACAAAAAAAAAAAACTACTAAACTTTCATCAGAAAGGCTACATATGTCTGGAAATGGTACAGGCAGGGTACAGTAAGGTATGGCCAGTTCACTGGTTACTGTCTTTTTGCCCTATTAAACAAAAATGAATCCCTCAAGCCCTTTAGAGTGTGTGCAAGCTAGTTTCTGTGCTATAGATGAGCCATGGTAATAGGAAAGGTTTCTGATACCAGCCAGCTGCCTTGATTCAGTGCATTCAAGCCATACCTAAACAGCCCAACAACATGGCTGAGAAGCAGCATAGTCTGACAAGTATTTGTCCTACCACAAAATCTCCTTGGCTAGTAATACTTTCCTCCCATGTACCAGAACCACAAAATGCCCCATTGGGGACTTGTTCTACACGTTAGGATCATTCAAATAACCAAGGTTATAAGGTGAGGAAAGAGGCCACTAACTCTTCTGTTGTCTCTCTTCATCTTGTTGGTTCCAGGAACTGAGTGGGGTCAATCTTCTGGTGCTGCCTCTCCAGGTCTCTTCCAGGCTGGTCACAGACGTACTCCCTCCGAGGCTGACCGCTGGTTAGAAGAAGTATCAAAGAGTGTCCGGGCCCAGCAGCCCCAGGCCTCAACTGTCCCTCTGCAGCCAGTTCTCCAGCCTCCTCCACCCACTGCCATCTCCCAGCCCGCACCGCCTTTCCAAGGGAACACATTCCTCAGCTCTCAGCCTGTGCCAGTGGGTGTAGTCCCACCCCTGCAGCCAGCCTTTGTCCCTGCCCAGTCCTATCCTGTGGCCAATGGGATGCCCTATCCAGCCCCTAACATGCCTGTAGTGGGCATCACCCCATCCCAAATGGTAGCCAACATGTTTGGCACTGCAGGCCATCCTCAGGCCACTCACCCCCATCAGTCACCCAGCCTGGTCAAGCAGCAGACATTCCCGCAGTATGAGACAAGCAGTGCCACCGCCAGTCCCTTCTTTAAGCCTCCTGCTCAGCACCTCAACGGTTCTGCAGCTTTCAATGGTGTAGACGATGGCAGGTTGGCCTCAGGAGACAAGCACACAGAGGTTCCTGCAGGTGTCTGCCCAGTGGATCCTTTCGAAGCCCAGTGGGCTGCATTAGAAAGCAAGTCTAAGCAGCGTACCAATCCCTCCCCTACCAACCCTTTCTCCAGTGACTTACAGAAGACATTTGAAATCGAACTTTAGGCAATCTCTGTGGTTTATGTATCTTGTCTGTACCTAGGCAAGGGCAGAGTGTGGAGATCAAAGAAGCAAAGGGGACTTTGTTTCCCTGATCAGTACATTTTTTTACTAATCCCAAAGGTCCCAAGGAGCGAGTCTAGGCACAGAGTGCAGTGAGAGATGATTTAAAAGAAGTGGGAAAACCATTCCTAGAGAAGACTATCTTGCAGCTAGGCTAAAGAACTCCAGGAGATGTTGCCCTCTGTACCTGCCTCCCTCACCCCCTTATAAATCTCTGGTAACAGAGAGGCAGAAGTATCTGAACAGGAATCTATATTCAAAGCACACTTACTGGAATATAAAACACAACAACAGAAAGCAAAATGATCTCCCTTCATTCACCTGCCTCCTCTCAGTACTGGCCTGATTTAGAGATAAAGAACAGGTGGGTTGGGCTCAGACTGGGAAAAGAGGCAGGCTGTGCTGCCAGAATTCTGGGAGTGCACAGCAGCAACTGCCCAGCAGAGCTATATTTTGGGGGTAAAGGTGAGCTTCCATTTTGAGTAACAGAATAAATGTTATAAATATATATCAAAAAGCCAAAATCTTTATTTTTATGCATTTAGAATATTTTAAATAGTTCTCAATATTAAAAAGTTGTATGAGTTGTAAGTAATCTTGCCAAAAGTAAAAGGGTTAGTTGTAAGAAATTGTACATAAGATTGGTTTATCATTGATGCCTATTGAAGTAAAAAGAGGAAGGGTTGAAAGTTGCAGGCGGGATCCCTGGCTTGTTTGTAAGCATTCATTGTAAGTAGCACATCACAACAACAATCATACTTATGACCAATACAGTCACTAGGTTGTAGTTTTAAATAAAGAAAATGAAAGAGCAGTATTGTCCTGGTTTTAAACCTATCATGAAATTCTAATGTCATTATTTTAATGGAATCAACCTAAATACGCTCTAGAGAATATGTTATCTTTTATATATTGTTGCAGTTTCCTTATGTTAATCCTTTATTTTAACACTAAGGTGACAGTGACATAATCATATCCACAGAAGGAAACACAGGGCCACTGTATTGGTTTGTAATGTGGGTTTTGATTGTTTGCCCTTTAAATTTTGTTCCCACATGTTCTGTGAGAATGGGGATTCTGGTTTTACTCATTTTGTGAGCCATGTCCCCCTCCCCCTAGTGAACAGAACATCCCATTGCCAGTCTCAGCCACTTGACCTCGGGTAACAACATGAGATCCCATCTCATTTTTACTTTTGAACGTTGGCCTTACAATCAAATGTAAGTTATATATACATACATACATACATACATACATATATATATATATATATATATATTTGTACTGATGAGAATTTATAATCTGCTTTAACAAAAATAAATGTTCGTGGTAGAAGCTTTTGCCCATAAAGAGCTGTTCTTTCTTTACTTTTCTTTATCTGCAAGTGAATTTACTTTTATTTGTTGGTCTTAATTCTCTCTGCTACTGCTACTACAGAGTCCTAGTTTTGGTGGCTAGAAAATCTGTTACCAAGACTAGTATATCCTTGTTTGTGTGGAGGGGACCAGGGTTGAACTCAAGGCTTCGCACTTACAAGGCAGGCGCTCTACTGCTTGAACCACAGTCCATTTTTGCTGTGGTTATTTTGGAAATAGAATCTCATGAACTATTTTCCCAGGCTGGCTTCAAACCATGATCCTCCCAATATAAGCCTCCCAAGTAGCTAGAATTATAGTGTGAGCCACCAGCACCTGGCAGGACTAGTATATCCTTAAATTCATATTTTAAGTACTGGTTGATCTGATTAGAAAGACAGAATCTCAGTCCCACCTCGTGCTGGAGCAGTGCTTCTCAACATTGGCTGTGCATCACCTGGAGAGCTTTTAAAATCCTAAAACCCAGGACTGGGGCTGGCAGAATGCTTACCTGGCAAGCATGAAGCCCTGAGTTCAAACCCCTGTACCTCCAAAAAAAAATAGTAATAAGCTAAAACCCAAGGCTGGGACTGTAGCTCAGTGGTAAGAGTGTGTGTGCAGCACACACAATGTCCACTAGCAACAAAAAAACAAAAACCACCCTAATGCCCAGACTATACACAAGATCAATTAAATTTGGGGGTGGGGGGAGTAACCACAGGTTGTTTTGGTTTTTACTTTTTTTAAGTTCCCAATATGGAAATAGGAATGAGAATCACTGGTCTGGAGTGGGTTTAACTCTATTCTGAGTAGTTTTAAGAGACTAGCTGCTGAGAGCAAGCTAATATCAGACATAACTTTGAAGTATGTGTATCAACAGGCCAAATTCTGGTTTCATTAAATGGGAGAATCCAAGAAAGTGGCCCTTACTCTCCTATTTCTACAGCAAAACCTGCTGTGATAAATGAAAAGAATGTTTCTCAGTATTTTTAAGGGGAATGAAAAAGACCTCTGCCTCTGTTTCCCTTGTTGAATGAGAGGTAGACTGAGAAGCATCAGTTGCCCATGACACAGTTGATCTGTTTCCAGCCAGTGTGTGGGTAGTCAGAGTCACCTTTCGGAGCTTTGGTCCCTGTGTTACCTGTCTTTCCTGTGTCTAGCAAAGTAGGAAGGCAAACTGGAAAGTGACCTGGCAGCTCATTGACTCCAGGCTTGTTTCAGTATTGATGAACGAGAGGTTTTAAAAGGAAAAGGATGACTTCTTCCAACTCCAACTATTTCTGAAGCTACTTCCCTATTACTGTGTCTCCCCCCCACCACCATGGCTCCTCTTACTAATGCTGGGTTTTTTATTGTTCTGATGGTACTGGAGTTTGAACTAGGGCCCCACGTTTGCTAGGCAGGCGCTTTACCACTTGAGCCACTCCACCAGCTCTGCTAATGCTGTTTTTAACAATACTCTGGTTTTTCTTTGACAGCAAATATTCTGCTTCACAGATTCCTGCCTAGGAAGAGAGAAGCTCCTTGTCATTGCACAGAGCAGGCCAGTCAGCTTTACAAAGGAGACACATAACCTTTCACACCCAGCTTTGCATGTCAGCCTTAGAGGGCTTGAGCTTCCCAATGAAGTAAGGAGTGTTTCCAGTTCTTTCATGCTCAGATAACAATGCTAAATGGCTTTTTCATTCCTGATCTCGATACTGAGGCCTTACATTTCATTCTACTTGCTGACAGCTTTCACAAGCATTATACTGTCAGCTCCATGCACTGACAGGATTTGAAGCTGACTGTGGCACTACCTAGAAAGATGAGTAACTAGAGTGGTGGACCACCATGTGACCCCATGTGACGTTTGGTTCTAGCAAAAGTTCCCAACACAGCAGAAGGTGGCATTCCCCTAAGGAAGTGGGCAATAATTTTGAAATCATTACACACACACACACACACACAGAGTACTTTAAAACTGTTTTAAAGAGAACCCTGAATGTTTGCTTTAAAAATGCACTGAACAGATCCTTTGTATAGGTCGAACATCTCTAGCCTAAAATCCAAAATGCTCCAAAACCCAGACATTTTTGAATGTTGACAGAGCACTCAAGTACTTCAGATTTCAGAACATTTCAGATTTTTGGATTATGGATGCTCAAATGGTAAAGTATACAAAATATTCCAAAATCAGAAACATTTCTAATCCAGAGCATTTCAAATAAGGGATCCTCAACCTACAGCAGAAACAGAAATGATAAAGGAAAGCTTGTCCTTAGATTCCTCTTCTTGACAGCTCAGCAGCAGCCTGTGGTCCCTGCTGAGGACCACAGGGAGAAGCTGGCACTGGGTGAGTTTTTGAAAGGGCCAGAGAGAGGAGGCCAAGTTTCCTTTCCCTTCTCAGAGAACTATTCAGGGCTGGGGCCCAAGCTAGCCTTCATCCCTGCTGCCAGACAGGCTGAGCATGTGGCTGGAAGCGGGAACAGCTGGCACAGCAGAAGCTGGAATAATACTCATTGCCACAGAGCTGGGCCTGCAGGATCAAGTCACAGTTGGCCAGCTCCGGCTGGTCGATGCACTCCCTGCCCAGGTCCCTGGGCTGGGCGGCTGGTGCTGCAGAACAACAGGAGAGAGAAGGGGTGAGGCAGACTCACCTGCCCTCTGTAAAAGCAAAGCACAAAGCGCTAAGAGAGATTACCATTTCCACCCACTTGCCAGCCTCACTTCAGCATGCAGTGGTCCTTCTGTTATTTGTGGCCTCAGCCCAGTAAACAGTCCTTCCCAGACAGACACCCCGTATTTACTGACTAGACCATTAAACATCTCTTCAAGTTAACACCCTACCCTTACTAGTGATAGCTGAAGAGCTGAAGGACAATTGCCCTGGCCTCTGGATTGGGAGGAAGACAGGCTAAGATCAGTCCCAAATAGAACTTGTCAGCAAGAGCTGTGTCATCTCCTTCACTGCTGGCTTCTTCCAGCCCCCAAGTTTTTGAACCTTAGATAACAGGTTCCCCATTTTCTTTTTCCACCAGAGAAGGCAATGGATGTTGAACAAGGTAACAGGAAAAGCCTTGTTAACTGTGGCTCTAATGCTACACTGAGAACACAGCCCTTGTGACCAAAACTACCCACAACTGTAGGCCCTCAGGGTGGATCACCTGCCTGGCTCCAGATAACAACTCCCAAACCCTTCCCAGAGCAAGGACTGAGATAATAACCAGCCAGACCACACCTGTGACTGGAACTATTTAACTATGCATACCTTTGTCCACTGCCCTAATTCTTTGTCTGTATTCCAAAGATGGCTAAAAATGAACTGAGTGCTTACTCTGCCTCTTTCCACACCATGTGTGGAGCCATATAATAAACCTTTCTCTGCCTTCAAAAAAAAGCACAGCCCTTGTGCCTTCCTCTAACTTTACTAGTAGCTTTTTTCTTTTAAAGACATATCCTAATTTTTTTTTTGTGGTACTGGAGTTTGAACTCAGGGCTTTGCACTTGCTAGGCAGGTGTTCTATCACTTGAGCCACTCCCTCAGCTGTACTAACAGCTTCTTATCGCTCCTGTGAGAGCTTCGTTCCACTGCATCTTAGGGCTGAATGTCCTGATCGAGTTCTCTTTTCTTTCTGAAGGGGATCAGCTTGGCTTAGACCTGAACAGCATCTTCCCTAAAGCCAGGGTCCCACCCAGGGCAGGGCATGTATCTTCATCCCTGGGTCCCTCAAAGCACCACAAGAAAACTAAACCTAAGCAGAGAGTGGCCTTAGGTTTTGCACGTTGGTATAACCAGAGGATTAGTTAAGACTGTCCCTGAACAAAAACATGAGACCCTATCTGGAAAATAACTAAAGCAAAAAGGGGCTGGGAGCATGGCTCTCAAGTGGTAGAGCTTTTGCCTAGCAAGTGCAAGGCCCTGAGTTCAAACCCCAGTACTGCCAAAAAAATAAAAATAAAATTAGGCAGGACAAAGTAACAGTTTACATTTCATCCCCACAGTATTTTCTGTTCCTCACCTGACTCTTGTAGGCTCTGGTAGTCCCTTACTCTTACCCCAGAATATGACTAGCCCAAGGCCTCCCACCTTAATGCTAATGCTGTAATTCCAGCCTCATACTATATGACTCTGGAAAAACAACGGGGGAGAGCAGACGTGCAGCTTGGTTACTGGCATGATTACAGGTAAAGACAAGAAGAGACAGGGACAGTTTGTAGTCAGGAAAGGGGCCCACAAAATATCTAAAATGGACAACATTCATCCAGCAGAGGGCAGAAGAGGGGCCTGACTGAAGTCATGAGTGGACTCAGGTTGCAGCCACACATCTACAGGGACCCCAACCGACTTCTTCATCAAGCGAGTTTCTGGTTATCATTTGATTTCCTCTGTAGATGTGTCTATAGCTAATCACAAACAAGAATATCTGGGTTCTCTTAACAGCTCTCTTTCTCACAGTAACTCTGCATTTGGTTTGTCTCAAGTCTTGTAAGTTTGGATAGTATGTGGACAGGAGATTGATTTTCTGGACACAGTAGAGGTGAAAATTAGTTCCTGCAATGTGGTGCTTTGTGCCAAGATGCTGTGCTCATTCATGCATGCACACACTTGGCCCCCCCAGCTCTCTGAGCACCTGCTGATGCTGGGCCCTGGGGTCTCAGCCGCTGCCTCAGGAGCTCACAGACTGGAAGCCTGAGTGTCAGCTCCATACATAAAGCAACATTTCAACCACAGACCTTTACCCTCTGGCACTGGGCAATTCCCATCCTTCAGTGTAGCAGCCAAGAGGCAAGTAGGCCCATCCCTGCATGGACCAGCATTCCTGGTGTGAGTCTACAGAATGACTGTTCTGAACATCTAGCCAGGAAGGGGGCTTGGCACTGTCTAGGCCAGGACCCTCCCCAAGGTTGGACCAGTTCTCTAAGAACTGTACGCTTGGCCTGGGGCACTATTCAGGCCCTCAATGAACCAGGACCAGGCACACATAGAAGAACCAGATGGGCAGAGTGCCCCTCCCCCCTGCCCTCTGGCTTATTTGAACACAGCTCTGGTGAGGAGTTTGAACATTAAGCCACAATCTATTTCACCAATTCTGAAATGCACTGATTTTCAGATGGGTCTGTGTTTTAACAGATGTCTCAGCTCTGTGTCATTTAATTGACAGCATTTTTTCAAAGTGGTACCATCCTACAGTACAATACTCAGATTTGCTGAACTATGATAACTCACAAAGACTGGGAGCTGGAAGATATGAGGCTAAAGTGTCAAATTATTCAATAATGCTGGCAACAGTTCACTGCATTACAGGTGTAATAATTATTAATGTATTATTTAATAATATTATCATTAACCCTGATTTGTCAAAAGACCTGGGTTCTAGTCCTCAGTTGGGCCATTAATGTGCAGTGTGACTGATGGAAACACCCTTAAGATCTCTGGGTACCTGTCCCACTGGGGAAAGAATGACGCTAGCCCCTGCCCTCTTGGGTCTGGGTTATATGCTCAAATGGTTAGAGGCACTTTGCACTCATAGGACCACTTTTTTTTTTTTTTAAGAATAAGGCCTATTTAATTTTAAATTATGTGTTTATTTTGTGGTGCTGTGATGGAGCCTCACATGTGCAACCCATGTTTGGTAGGCAAGTGCTCTACCACTGAGCTACATCCCTATCCCCACAGGACCACCTTCTGCCACCCTGGATAGAAGGGACAGATCGTAGTGATCTGTCTGCTTTAAGTATTATCATGAAATCCTGGCCAATCATACATTTCAAAATAAAATTGGCAAGTGTAAATGACAATGCTTAACATCTGCTGGGCTACTGCCAGTGCTTGGCATCCTTCATCCTCACCGCAGCTCAGTGATGGGGCAGCCCACTGCACCAAGGAGGAAAGCGAGGCTCAGGAGAGGTCAGCCCCTTGCCCCAAGCAATACTCCCAGAAGCTAAGATTTGGCCTGGAGGCACCCACAGCCAGCCCTGGAGGATGAGCAGGTGCTCTGGGGAATGTGCCCACCACCCTAATAGACAGGTGTTCATACCTGGCGGGGCCACCTTGACCTTGGTGCTGCGGCTGACTGCCTGGCTTCCACGGTAGGCGCTGCACGTGTAAGCACCCTCATCCCTGGCCCGCAAGTTATGGATCAGCAGCGTGCCATCTGGGGACTGGTGTACACGGTGACCATCAGCCTGCACTGGCAGCCCATTCCTAGAGGGGAGAAGGCACTGCATGTGCCGTCCAGGTTCTCTGGTCTTTAGGCCCTAGGAGGCCTGGGACACAGAGGAAGTTGTCAAAGGCCACTCTAGGGCCAACCATCCCTCCCCTTGATGCTCCGGACAGGCACACCAAAAAGGCACAAGAACATTACAAAATAACAGAGTCTAAGCACACCGATCTGAGACATGGTAAATTTGCCTCTTATCCACAACAGAATCCACAACGGCTTTTCAGTGGTCGGGGGCCCTGTGCTCACGAGCAACACATGCACCTAGCACCCCTGCCTTCAGGGCACCAGGGAAAATGCAGGTGGTCAGGAGCCTCCAAGAAAGTCTAAAGAGAAGGAGGAAGTGGCAGCAACTGTCTGACAAGAGAGGTGACCATGGGGACTCAGGAAGGCCAAAGCCACAGCAAGGACAGCAGTGAGGGAAGATGTACGCAGTAAGTGCACGCGGAATGCAGGGCAGGGCAGGAGTCAGTCAACTGGTTCTTGGGCTCTGGCCAGGAGTTTGGATTGGCTCCTGGGACTTGGTGGAGGGGTCTGAGCTAAATAGGAACTAACTGGGCTTGTGGGGGTGGGGGGAACCCTGAAGAAGAGCAACCAGGGAAGTGGCTGCTGCCTGGTGCATATGGGGCAGATGACATAGGCAGTTTAAAAAAAAAAAAAAAAAGGGACCTGGGCAAAGGTCAGGTGTAGGAGGTGGAAAGGAAGCAATCAGGTATGGGTCACTGTGGTGTCCCTCCAATCAGGGAGACCCAAAGTAGGGGTGAGAAGTAGTTATGTTATGTTTCACCATTTGGATCTAGGGTACCTAAGAGACATCAGAAGTGTCAGATTTGAGGTCTGGCTTCCGGGAGTCCAGACCCAGAAGTGTATCAGCACAAGGTGGCCTCAGGAAGAGTGTCTCCAAGGTTGTCCCAGGTGAGGTCACCAAGGACAGAGCCTGAGGCACAGCCCTGAACGGGGCTTCCTGGAGCCAAGGGAAGGGAGCACATAAGATGGAGCAGGTAGTTAGCAAAGCACTACAGGTCAGGTAAGGACTGAGCTGTGTCCTGTGATATTAGGAACAAGCAGGTGATTGGTGGCCTTGGCCAGGACAGTTTCTCCTGGAACAGGGGCTGGAATATGAGTAGAGTGGTAACCAGATAGAGACAAGCTGAGCAGTCATGCTGTGAGGGGGACACTGAGCACAGAAGCCCCAGGCATCCAGGCCACACCAGAGGCAGCTAACCTCTAGGTCCTGTCACCTCTCCTACCAGTGCACAGCCTGTTCCCAACTTGCTGCTGCCTCTGCTGGAACATTCCCCTCATTAAAGCCAATCATTATAGTTATTACAGTCAGTCATTAACAGCCCACTGCAGTCACTAACCCTGGCCTCTCCAGGCCTGAACAGCCTCGCCCTCCTCTGTGCAGACAGCACTTGGGGCAAACCTCATCTGGAGCTCCTGGGACACAAGGCCATCTCCTGCCCAGGGTGCCCTGGGGTTCAAATGACCCCAAAGTCCCCAGAGGATAGCCTAGTCCCTACACATTCCAGGGAGGGAGCAGTCAAAAATACTTACAAAATGAAAGAATGAACAAAAGACCAATCAATCTGGGTAAAAGTCCACTGAAGTCCCCAAAGCTGAGTGAGCTGTGGGTCTTAGTGCAGGGAGATCTGCTATGTCTGCAGGCATTTTCTATTGTCATAAACTGGGATGGGAATGTTACTGACACCTAGTGGGGAGATGTCCCGGATGTTGCTAAATAGCCTGAAAACACACAGGACCCAAACAGCAACCAAACTTGGCTGATCCAGAACATCAGCAATGCTGAAGTTAAGAAACCCTAGTGTAGACTGGTCTATAATCCCAGCACTTGGGAAACTGGGGCAAGAGGATGTGAGTTCAAGGCCAGCCTCAAAAGAGACCTTGTCAGAGAGAGGGATACAGGAAGGCGGGGGAGGAAAGAGAGAGAGAGAGACAGAGACAGAGAACAGGAAAGGAAAGGAGAAGGGAGAGGATAGGAGAGGAGGGGAGGGGAGGGGAGGGAAGAAGAGGGGAGGGAGGGAGAGAGAAGAAGAAGGAAGGGGAGGGGAGGGGAGGGGAGAGGAGAGAAAATGAGTGTATCCTAACCAGTGGCAAAGCAAGCTGTCCTACAGGGCTTCATGGCATAGGACGAGGGGGCTGCAGTCCCTGTCCCTGGCACCAGACCTTGAAGAAGGCATGGGGGCAGTGGTGACTGTGACATTTGTGGCAGAAAGGTGAACCACCACAGCTAAGGTTGTAAGCACAGGGACTGCATGGAATACCACCCTACCTGGACCATCGGATGTTCACGCCTTCTCCTGCCACCACACACAGCAGCCTGGCTGTGTCACCCTCTGGCACTGTCACAGTAGGGGGCATGCCTGTGATTGTCAGCTCCCCTGGACATAAGAAACACTGTCAGCCGCTGCACAGATTTTGCCCCATCAAGCCACTTCACCTTAAAGGCCATTTACCCCACTCAGGACTTCCACATTACCCAGAACTCTGAGCTGAACCCAAAGCTGGTCTCGGTCCTGACCATTGAAAGCAACACAGGCGTAGAAGCCTCCATCTTCCACAGTTACTTGGCTGATGAGCAGAGAGCCATCAGGCTGCACCTGGTGTCTTGGGACCAAACACAGTCAGTTGGCTCCAGCCCAAGAAGGCCTGGCCTGGGGCAGGAGAAGCAGGGAGGCAGGGATGAGAGGCTGAGCAGGAAGATCTAGCTGAAGAGTCCTGGGCCTCAGGCCCTCACTGCCTTCAGCTGCCGGCACTTTAATTTTCTTGAAAACATCTGGCTTTTAAGCCTAAGAAATCATTTCAAGTTTTCTGATACAAAATAATTCTGGGTTGGGTTTCTAGTTTTTGCCATACTCCAATCCTGGTTCTTTCTACCTACCGCTTGTGAGCTGTGTGGTATTAAGCTCCAATGTGTAAATGGGGAAGACAGCATGTGCCTCAGTGTGTCTCTGCAGATTATCCGCCAAAGAACAAGCCTCACACTCAGCGTACACTCAATAAATGTCAGCAATTAGGACTCAGTCAAGACTGTGTTGAGTCTATCTCCTTCCTCAGCCATCGCCTGTTAGTCAGCCTATTTCTGTCCACCAACCCCACTCTAGAAAGGCCCAGGGAGCCAAATGTTGACTGGCCCAGTTGCCCAGTGCCCCCAGCTCCATCTCCTGAGAGCCCTGCATCCTCCTCAACCCTCTACAGGATGGGGAGGGGCTGGAGGCAGAACAGGAAGAAGGAGAGGAGCTGAACGAACCTGGGGGACGAGATGGACTGCCCATCTCTCTGCCATTCAATGGCTGGGGGCGGGAAGCCTTCAGCACGGCAGGTCAACAGGATCTGCTGGCCTGGACTGGTGTCCACCACCCTGGGCTGGGTCCGGTCCAGACGCAGCCTGAAAAACAAGCCACTCACAGTCATGAGGGGCCTTTGTCGCTGCCTCCCCCACTCCCATGGGGACCTCTACTTGCATCCCCTTCTACTTCTCCAGTCAATTTCAGCTTCCAAAAATCACTCTGTTCTCTGTAAGACACTATCACTAATTAAGAGGAAAGTCTCAAAGCTACCAGGGGTGTTCTCTCTGTCTCTCTCTCCCTCCCTCTCTCTCTCTATCTCTCTCTCTCCCTCTCTCTCTCTCTCACACACACACACACACACACACACACACCAGCATCTCCATCCATCTCTTCCCTGGTCTGCATATTCACTATGAGGACCTTGATTTTGACCCTCCCTCAGCCCTGCCCCCAACCCCCATAAACTGAGCCAGCTCTGTGCCCTCCTCCTCCAAGAAGCACTTCCTGGATCCTTAAACTCTGGGAGCCTCCCTCCTTTGGTTACTGAGTCCTGAGTCCATGAACCTTCACTACTCCCAGCAGCTTAGAGTGAGGACTTCCCTTCCTTCCCCGAGATCCAGCTCAATCAAGAAGCCATGTTTTTCTAATCCTCACCTCCCAGAGCCCTGTGCAGGGGCGAGCAAGTCTGGTCACACACACCCCTTTCCCTCCTCTCCCACAGAGATCCCAGACCCTGGCGCTAGCGTGGGAGAGGCTGAGGGCAAGGGCATGGCAGAACTGTTACCGGGTTGCAGGCCGTGGCTGTGAGGAGGAGATGATCCTCCGGCCCCCAGCATCTGCCCCTAGACTGGAGTCTGGAGGACGGTGACCCTGGGAAGGGTCCCTGGTGTGAGGGAAGTACCTCAGCTCGGTCTCAGACAGCACCGCCATGTCATCCCCTGTCATGAGGTGGAGATAATCAAGGTGTGAGCTGCGGGGGGAAGGGAAGGAAGTGGGGCCATGAGGCCAGCAAGGATGTGTGGAAAAGTGAGGGCCTCCTCCTGCCACCAGGAGTAACCCAGAGAAGCACCTCAGGCCCCTCTCGTGTGAAGGCAGCCCTGCCAGGCTCTCCCACCCTGTTCCTCCCACACTGTGACTTGTAGGAGCCTTGGGACGGATAGGGTGAGGACAGAGACCCCTGATCCGAAGCTGGATTTTCTGGGGGTCATGGCCTGGCCTGCGGCTGCCACAGCTGTAGGTGCCAGCGTCCTCTGCCCTCAGGGGGCCGATGACCAGGGAGCCATCAGACTGCAGCTGGTGCCTGAATGAAGAGAGGGGTTTCGGTGAGCGCTGGGCTCCTGTGAGCAACAGTGAATCCTCCCTTAGGCCTGGCGATCCTACCAGAGGGACCATAGCCCCACAGAGCACTCCTGAGCCCACTCACACTCCCAGCCCAGGAGAGGTCAGAGGGGCCTCTGAGTAAAGGGTGCTGCACACAGGTGATGGACTCTCATTGTTACACACACCTGTCAGAGGAGATGGGTCGGCCATCTTTCTGCCACCTAGCCTGGGGTTCCGGGGAGGTGTCACCAGGGCAGAAAAGCTGCACCAACTGCCCCAGAGTTGCCTGCACCAGGGAGGGCTCCAAGTCTGCCAAGCTGTTCCTGGAGAGGTCAGAGGTGAGGATCTGCCTGCTAGCATGAGGACCAGGACCAGGGACCACCTGCCCCAAAGGGCCTGTCCTAGGCACTTGCAGGGCCCAAGAGGGCCATGGGAGGCCAAGGTCCTGAAGTCCCCAGGACTCCAGCCCTCCTGACCTCGCCACCACACCCAAGGAAACCGCCAAGTGTTGCAGGGGCGTGGGGGGAGTGGGGGGCTTGAAAGTGACCACACACACCCCACATCCATGTGGGGAGCAAACTATACCCTTGCCTCCTGAAGCATGTAAATTTTGAATTTTGAATTTTGTTTTTTAACTTTCTCAGATCCTTTACTAATATGACCCAGACCCAAGAGTACAAGCGAAGGGAACCGGCACCAACCCAGCAGATAGGCAGGGCAGGAAACTATCACCATCTTACATCTCAAGAAACTGAGGCATGGAGAAGTTAGAGAACTTGCCAAAGGTCAAGAAACCAGGAAGCTTGTCCAGTAGGACAGCCCCCGGGCTACCTGGCAGATCTGACAGGAAATCCAGGAACCCCCATCTAGCCCCATGTCAGGGTTCTAGCTCCAGCAGGCTCACCTGTCCCCTGGCACACTCTCCCCGACCTGGGGAAGTTGGGCCTTACCTGTAGGAGGGGCTGTAGGAGGGTGGCACTGGCCGTCCAGCATCTCCGCCCTGTCCGGGGGCTCTGGACCCAAGCTCCTGGCCCCCAGGCCGTTCTGCAAACGTCCGAGTGTGGGGCGCCTCTCCTGGGCCAGGCTTTTTTTCTCCCCGCCAGGGACCACCAGAAGGCGAGGGCTGTCTCGGGGCTGTGGCCCCTGTCCTGTGCCCAGGCTCCTGTTGGCCTCCAAGACGGCTGCTGTCACCATTTGTGTGCGCTCTCCGGCCAGAGGCCCCAGGCTCGGATGGTGGGGCCCGTGCTGGGCCTGGCAGCTGCTCATGCACTCCTGCTCCGAGGCGAAATTATTGGCATTGCCATAGCAACCACCAAACCAGAAACGGTTGCACCGGCCCACGGAGGCGACGAAGTACCAGCGGGCGGCCCAGTCTGCACAGGACCCATGGGCGCTGGGCAGCAGGCATCGCACAGGGTAGGCTGGGGATAGGTGTGGGCTATGTCACCCAGGTGGCCAGTGTGAACGCTGCACCTGACATCCGCTGCCTCAGACTTACGGGCCGTGCCCTTCCCAGTTTGTGGAGCACAGCTGCACCCCTGCTGGGCCCTGGGAGCACAGGCCACTTCCAGGATCTGCTCACTGCTCAGATGTGTCCACAGCAGCCTCCACCCACAGAACCCAGCCTCCATGAGGACAGGGCCGATATCCACATCCAGCCTCCAGCACACCCCTGACCACTAGCCTGTCTGGTTCTGGACAACCCCAGAATGGTCCCTGGAAACCATCAGGCATTGTCCTGTGCTCCAGCCTCAGTGAGGTCCTGTCCCCGCCTCACGCCAGGATTCAGTCCTATCTACATCCGTCCCAGCACGACCCACACTAGCACTGTCTGCTATGGGAGAGGGCTGGCTCCCATAAAAAAAGGGATGGTACTTCTTTTTTCCTGGGGATCCCACCCATAACCTTCCCCAAACTCCCACAGCAGCCAGAAGGACTCAAGTGCAAACTTGGATGTAAGAAGAGCCCAGCAATGTCCTCTGGCCTGCCATCTAGTGGGCGTGGAAACCAGTAGGAAGGTCTTTGGCTATTGGGTGGGGGTTGGGGACACGGTGGGACTAGGGTCCACTCACGATAGCTAGGCTGACCCAGACAACCTTCTCCAAGAGGGCCAGCTGCAGAGGCGATGTTGTCATAGCAACAGCCAAACCGGGAGCCCCGGCACTCACTGGGCTCACTCTCCTGGGCCTGGTGCTGGTGGGCCTTGGGGGCCTGGAGGGAAAGCCCAGGATTGGGAAGTTAGGAGCAGGCCTGGCTCTTGTGGGGACCCAGAGCTGCCTGGAGGAGGACAGCAGGAAGAGAGAAGGGACAGAACTCTAGCCCCAGAGGTCAAGAGAATGTGAAATGAAGCCCGTTTCTGAAGCTTGTGCCCTCAAGAAAGTGGTCAGGCCCAAGTCTTGCAGGGCCCTCCCCTGACCAAGGCCAACCTGCAAAGATGCTGGGTCAAGTGACACTGAGCAGGCTGAGGCCAAGACTCTCTCCCCTCTCACATAAGCCAGACACTTACCGTGGAAACCACTGCCCTGGACCCTGGCCTGCTCCCAGGGTTGTCACCACCATAAGACCTGGCACAGCCAGCCTGCTGAGGTCCCTCAGCCACAGATACCCCGTCAGGACAGCATCCATACCTAGGCAGACAGCACACAACCAGCCCTCACTGCCAGCCTGGCTCTGGCCCTTCCAGGGACCCCAGTACCTCAGCGTCCAGCATGGAGGGACCAGGCTCTGAGGCTGACTTGGCAAGGCCCCTGTGAGCTCTGGTCTCTGCCCAAGTCCACTGCCACCCTGCAGCTGCCAGCAAGGGCAGCAAAGTACTGGCTCTGACAACTGAAGAGAGAGATACTGGACTTACAGTCAACACCATGTACCCAAGAAGTGGGAATTCATCTGAACTGCCCAAACAGCGGGTCCCCAGGACAGAGAATAGGGTCAAAAGGAGCCCACCGTTTACTTTGCCTCCATCAACCAGGGTAGGGAAGCAACGTGAAAGTTAGAATACATCACAGAACCTTCCACGGACTGATCTCCCTGTGCTCAGTTCATTCTCACAGCCCCACCCAGTGGCCATCATTGTTTCCCATTCGCAGAAGGTGAAGCCAAGATCAGAAAGGCTACGTAACTTGCCGTAAGTCACCCAGCATACAGCTGCTAAATGGCTGAGCTGCAAGTCACCCCCAGGACCCCAAATCTGGGGCACTTAGCACCCCAGTCCCTGAGTGGGGGCCTGTCCAGGGTAGGCCATGGAAGAAGATCAAGGAGGGTACTGGGCAGGGTGGGATGACTTAGCCTCTCTGCAAGGCTGGGGCAGGGAAGTATCAGGTTTTGGGGGACTGATCCACTCTTGTTCAGCCTGGCACGGCGCTCCCAGAGCCTGGCTGGGATCTGAGAGGTGGAATCCCCCGTAACCTTCTCAGAGCCTCGAGCCATCTCTGCACAAGCTGACCTCTGCAAAAGGGCTGGGGACCCACTGGGCACATTAGAAGCTCATGAGGAGGGAAACAAGCCCCCAAGAGCACGCGTCAGGGAAGCTCAGACTTAAACTTGAGAATTGTAATCCTAAGCTCGCCAAACCTGCCCACCCCCTTCCCTGGGCAGAGCTGTTGGCCCGCGGCCCACCATCACCAGGCCCACCTGGTGAGGAGGAAGAGCTGTTGCCAACCTACCTGCTCTGCTGACATGAGGCCCCAGCCCCAGGACAACCTTGCCACTGTGGCCCGAGAGACAGCGTGTGGCCATCGGGGCAGCATCCGTAGGGGCTGTATCTGCAGTCTCGGGACCCTGAGCCGGACCTTGGGGGCTGCCAGTGTGGGGATTGCTGCAGAGAGGGAGCCGGGCCTGGAGCTGACAAGTGGGGACCCTGTTTTCCCCTGGATTTACTCTGGACCCAGGGTCGCTCCTGAGCAGCCCACTGCTGGTGTCTAGGATCTAGAAGGGGGAAGCAAAAGCCATGTTGATGTCCTCACATGGTCCCATACCCTCTACCCATGTCCACATGGAACCAACTGCCCTTGAACCCAACAGACCATGACCCAGTGGCCACCAGTACCCCCACCTTAGTCCTCCATCTCTAGACCACCCAGTCAGACACAAAGATGACAGGGCCCAGCTGGGAGACTGGACCCAGTTTCTTACCTGAGGTAGGGGCTACCCGAGGGCCCAAAGGCATCTGGGGGTCCCTGGGATGGGCATGTGAGTCCTGCACACTGGGGACCTCTGTGAGGACCCAAGGAACAGGCACAGAGGGCAGAACCAGTGAAAAGAAGAACCAGAGACAAAATTAGCATTCCAGCACATAAAACAAAACATGGTACCCAGACTTCTAACTGGACTAATTAGGGGCTGCTGTGTTTTGCTCAGTGGTAGAGCACATGCTTTGTAAGCACATGGTCCTGGGTTCCAACCCCAGCACCAAAAACAAGGCAGAGAGAATGAACTTGTGAAAACACAATTAACAGCTGTGTATGGTGATGCCCACTTGTAATCGCAGCACTCCAGAATCTGAGACAGAAGATCAAGAGTTCGAAGCTGGCCTGGGCTACATAATGAGACTGTCAAAAAACAACCAAACAAAAAACCGCGAATAATCCAATCAAAAACAGCGACGTTGGCGGAATGCAAAGCTTAGAGGTAGAGTAATTTTCTGATCTGTCTGAGGCCCTGGATTGGATCCCCAGCACCACAAAGGAAGAAAGGGTGCAGACAGGGCATCCAGAGCACACAGGTGAAAAGATGACGACTGTACTGTGTACATGTGTGTGCAAGTGGTAAAGACCTTAAAATTTCCTCAAAGATATGCAAATAGCCCAAAAGCAGATGAAAAACAAGGAAACGCAAATCAAAGTCACAGTGAGCCACCTAACACCACTAAAGTGATGGCTGCGCTCAAAGACTGAAATAATAAATACCCCAAGCACCACGAAACCAGGCACTTCCAGAGGGTGACCAGATGCTACAGCAATTTCACCTCCATAAAAGTTCCAAATTGAAAAAGTGAACTGACGGTTGACAAGATAGAAAGAGTAGATGATGCCCGACACAAGTGACCCATCCCTGTAATCTTAGGAAGCTGACATCAGGAGGATCTCAGTTTGAGGCCAGTCCAGGCAAATAGTTTGCAAGACCCCATCTTCAAAATAACCAAGGCAAAATGGACTGGAGGTGTGGCTCAAGTGGTAGAGCAACTGCTTTGCAAGTGTGAACTCCTGAGTTCAGTCCCTCAAAAAAAAAAAAAAAAAAAACCCCAAAGAGTAGATGATGAAAAGCAACAGCAAATACCAGCCCTAGGATGCAGGTGTTGGGTCTGAGGCTCCCCCTTCTCCTATTCATTTCTTTCAGCTTTCCTATGTTTGAAATCTTATCTCATGTTGTTGGCCAGCTTGGTAAATCTGCCAAAAGTCGTTGTTATCTTTAGTAAGTGGGTGGTGTCAGGGCCAGAGACACAGTTCAGTTAGTGGGAGTGCTTGCCTCGTATGCACAAGGCTCTGGGTTGTCCAAAAAAATAAGAAGCAATCCTTTCTAAGGCATATCGTACTCAAACAGCTTCAGCGAAGTTGTCAGATTCTTTCCATCATTAGCTGAAGAAAAGGCTGCATAGAGACAGCTAGGAAAAATTTAAAGTGAAGCATAAGAGAAAATCTGCAGGACACATCCCACAATATTCATGTGCAAGACTTCTGAACTGGGGCAGGGGGCTTTCCTTCTATTCCATAGCGTTTTTCTAATTTTCCAACCATATTACTAGTGACCATGTTACCAGCTAATTCAGTAATTACTATACTTAAGTTCAAGAAAGAAAATTCTTGCCAGTTCCCAAGAATATGAAAAATAATAAATTTGGGTTGCAGAACACCAATAGGCAGGTGGCAAAATCTTTGATTTTATTTCTTATCATAGGCCAAAACCTGGGGCGAGGCTGATTCAAATTTTCTCCCCCGGCCTGAAGTCTCCCATGCATTGGTGCTCAGGTTCTCTCTGGCCTAGCATCCACAGTCCCCAGCCTGGAAATTCTGGCGCTGTCCCTTACAGGCATCACTGCCCAGCCTGCCTTGCCGTCATTTCCCCCTCAGGTGATTTCTGCCTCACCAGCTCCTGCATCTCATCTGTCTCCATTTTAGCCTGACCCTCAGGCATGGGAGCCAGTCCTAAATAGCTTTCACGGTGTCACTGTTTAGTCCCAGAACTGTCAGTGGCTCCCCTGGGCCTCTGAAGCCCCAGGTCTGAAGCCCTCCAGCCTCCCCACTGTCCCTAAGAGCATCATCCATCCCACACAGTGCTGAGGGTGAATTCCGGGACCTTACTGGTCTCAGAGCTACTGAGCACTTGAAGTGTGGCTAAAGTGGCTGAGGAGCTAAGTGTTCAATTTTATTTAACCACAAACAACTGAATTTCAAATTCTAAAATTGGTGTTTGATTAATTGAAGTAGGCTTGGAATAATTTGGGTAAGTGAACCTATTTTTTTTCGACTGCAAATTTCATGAAATAAAAATATAAATCAAATATTCTGGTGAAAATTTAGCATCTGAATTGAGATGTGCTGTAAGTATAAACCATGCATTGAATTTCAAAGACTTAGCTTTTAAAAAATCTTGTGCGGGCTCCAGTGGCTCATGCCTGTAATCCTGGCTACTTGGGAGGCTGAGATCAGGAGGACTGAGGTTTGAGGCCAGCCCTGGCAAATAGTTTGCAAGACTCCATCTCTAAAATAACCAGAGCAAAATGCAGATAATTTGAGCAGAGTAGCTCAAGAGGCAGAGCAACTGCTTTGCAAGCTGAAAACCCTGAGTTCAAATCCCAGTCTCACCAAAAAAACAAAAAAAAAACAACAAAAAAAAAAAAACCCCACAAAATCTTGTAAAAGAGAATACAAAATATGTCATCAAAATTTTTATGTCTGCCTAGCTACTCAGGAGGTGGAGATCAGGAGGATCAGTTTGAAGACAGCATGGGCAAATAGTTTGTGAGATCCTATCTTGAAAAAATCCATCACAAAAAAAGGGTTGGTGGAGTAGAGTGTATATATATATATATAATTTTTTTCTTTTTTTTTTTTTGGTGGAATTTGGGTTTGAACTCAGGGCTTTGTGCTTGCCAGGCAGGTGCTCTACCAGTTGAGCCACACCTCCAGCCCTTTTTGTTTTGGTTATTTTTCAGATAAGGTCTTGCATTTTTTCCCAGAGCTGACCTCAGACCATGGTCTTCCTACTTACACCTCCCCATAGCTGGAATTACAGATGTGTACTGCCACACCCAATTCGATTGTCAAAATAGGGTCTCACTAACTTGTTTTTTTTTTTTTGGCCAGGGCTGGCATCAGACTGTGATCCTCCCAATCTCTACCTTCTGAGTAGTGTCCTCCGGAGGGTCCTGGTGGCCAAGCAGGCCACCAGGCTCACCACCGCCACCTTCTCCCCTTTTCCAACATGTACTCCACATGCTCAGAACAGTGTGCCCTGTGCCCCTCCACAAGCCTGGACAACGACTCGAGTTCCAGCACACAGGGGGCAAACAGAGAGGAGAGGCACTGGCCTAGGACCACACAGCCTGGCAGCCGGGATGTGGATCCCAGCCCACATTAGCTGTTACTAGAGGCGCTGTTGGACTGCTGCTGTCCCCACCTTCAGGTGCTCACAGCTCAGAGTCCCCACCACCAGCACTTCAGGGCCAAACACACCTTTCCGGTATCGGAAGGCTACTGCCCCTCTCATGCCTAGCTCGTCAAAACTCCACTCTTCCTCGGAGTCACGTCCACACAGCAACACACACTGGCCTCTGGCTCCTCCCCTGCAGATCCTCCTGCCTGGAAAGCCTCCTTTCCCAGCACCATGGGATGAAGGGGAGAGGGAAGACGAGGCAGAAGCAGTACAGGAGGATGGTCTTTCCTGCAGTACTTCCTTCCCTCTGCACTCAATCATTCAAACAATTCCTCGTGCTAAGTACATCCTATGGGGGCGGGGGAGGGGAGAGGAACAGGACATCATAGACTTGGCCTTCAAAAAGCTCACAGCCAGTGGGCCTAACAAGCCATATACGATCACAAAAAGTAGCACAAGAACGCTAAGCTAATCTAAGGGTGACACAGATATGACAATATGCCGGGGCATGGAGGAGAGGCTGCTTCTGAACGGAGGAAGGAAGGGCTGGCTCATGGGACTGCACAGAGGATGGACTTTGAATGGCCCAGGCCTTCTTAGATAGATGGGGAGAAGGGTGGCCGGGGAGCTGGCAATCCCAGGCAAAGGCCCTAGTCAGGAAGTGTGCAGGTTTAGCAGTGAAGAGGAAAAGCGAGGGCCCCTCCCTGCCCCTGGCCTTACCCTGGGGAAGATGGCAGGGCTGCCTGTTACAGGGTTCCACCTCCATGGGCTTCGGCTGCTGCAGGCTCCCACAATGACTGGGCGGCCCAATGGCACAGACGACCTGTCGCCTCCGAGTGCCTGAGTTGCAGCTCTTGGAGCACTAGGGTCCAAAAGTGGGAAGAGAGAGCCCCAAGACTGGGTGACACATGTCAGATCAGAGGAGCTGAGGCTCAAGGAACCAGGGTTGGGCAGCAGGCATCGGAGAGGGGACAAGTACTCACTAGACCCCAGGTGCCAACATGCCAGGCCTGGTCACGGAGGAGGGCACAGGCCTCACGCACACAGGGCTCAGTAAGGGGTGGCTGGTCCTTCAAGGAGCACGCCGTGGCACGAAGCAAAGATCCCTGGTCACCCCGGCAAGTGACACTCCGCCTTCGGATGCCGGCACCGCAGGTGACAGAACACTGCAAGGACAGGCTGTCAGCAACAGCTCATTCCAACCCAGAGGACCCACATTGGGTGGAACAGCTGGAGGCCCACCAGCCTGGCATGGAGAGCAGACAGTACCCTACTGCCTGTATCCCATTCCCAGGCCCAGAAAGGCTCAGTCACTTCCCTGAGGTCACACAGCCTGATCATGGTGGCAGATAGCAGACTGAGGTGCATTTTATTTGCAAATTGAGCATATGTAGGTGCTGGAAGCACTGAGCAGCAGCCTCAGACATGCCAGCCCCTCACTCACCACACCCAGCTGCAACTCCAGGCCAAACAGAAGCCTTTCCTGCCCTACCCTGGGATCCTAGAGAAGGGGGAAGGGCCCTGGACATGCATCTAGTCCCAGCCTTGGCCGAAGCTTCCAAGACTGCCTGCTAGCTCCCTTCCCTTCCAGGACCTCAGTTTCTACCGTGGAAGACAAGTAGTCTCCCAGCCTAGCCCTGCTGCTGCCCAGGCCCAAGTCTCAGCTCCTGGCTTCCAGTTCAACTTGATCTCCATCAAGGGCCTCACCTCTCCCCAGGGTTCTGCCCTCCAGGTAGCACAGCGCTGCAGGTTGCAAGCCTGGGTAGTAGGGGGTTTCCTGGGTAGGCCAGCACACTCGGTCTCTTCTGCAGCCTCCTGGCCGCCAGCCCCATCAGAAGAGATGCAGTAGACAGAGCGGGACTGGGATCCACCCCCACAGGAGGCCGAGCAGGGAGTCCATGGCCCAGCCTTCCAGCTGGTAAGGAGTGGGAGTCAGGTAAGGCTAGCCAAGGAGCAGCAGCTCTCACACACCGGAGTGGACTAGAGACCCCAGCCCCAGCTGGATGCACCTCTGAACATCCAGGCCTGTGTCGGTGGGGACCCAAGAGCTCTGCATAACCCCCAGGGCCCTCTAGGCATCCCCCACTGCTGCCCTAAAACTTGGAGCCTGGCTGCTGCCTGTTAACTGCCCAATCCTCACCTGAAGCTGTCTTTTTCCTTCTCACCATGCCCTGTCACTCAAGCCACCTCCCATTCCCTCCAGGCCCCACCTTAGATGAGGGCATCTGCAGAGGGGCTGTGCAACCCATGCCTTGAGTGGCCCTGCCCAGCGCAGGGGGTGCAAGGGCCATTAGAAGGGCAGCCCCTGCACACCATGCAAAGGCAAGCTCACCACCATCCCACCAGGCCGGGCAGGTGAGAGGAACGGCGCTGGCCCTGTGAGGAGCCGCAGCCTGCAGATTACCTGTTCACACACACACGCTGGACCCCAGCATGGCGCCACGCTCTGGGCCGGTGCACTTAGGAGATCCTTTGTGCACGAATGAAGGCATTGCCAACAGGCCCTTTGGCCAGATCCCTGGCTCAGCACTGAGCATCTGCCAAGCCAAGCACCCTGCTGGCTCAGACAGGGACCTCTGGTACTGTCCCCAACCCTCCTGCCACCAGCCTGGACATTCTGAGCACTGTGTGGGCACACAGGGTATTGAGAACAGCCCTGGGCCTCACATTCAGGTCCTTTTGCTGCCTACCTCAATGACAACTGCCACCTACAGTCATAGCTGTAGGCAGCTCTGACCCCCTGCCCTCTTCGATCTACACCTAACACAGCTTAGAGACCCTCTTTCTTCCCACCCATGTTCTTGGGCCCCCACCAGGGAAGGAAGGGGCCAACAAGGCCTCACCGCTTGGTCTGTGGGCACGGGTGAAGGTTGCAGGGGCGGCGATCAGCTGGCCGAGGTTGGCGCTGGCACATGTGGTCAGGGTAGGCCTCATTGTCAATGGTGCAGAACACCAGGCGGGACTGGTGACCTGCCAGGGGCCGGGTCACAGAGGACAGCCAGTCAGTCAACCCCCCAGCGCTCTCTGGCCCAGGCACAGTTCTGGATTTGGTCTATGCCCATCCTACCCCTCTGGGATAGATACCAAATTACAGAGGCTCTGGGAGTTTTAGATGTGAGGGTCAGAGCTGGGCCTGACCCCTTAGTCACCTGGCCTAGGAGATGCCACCTAGGCGGAAAACCCTCCTTGATCTTCTTAGCTTAGGTGGGGGTCCGCCAAGTGGAGATTTCTCACCTACCTGTCCACTCCCCACAGGGCTGCCTTAAAGAGAGAGCTGTGACTTGTCTGCCTATGTCCCCTCCGGGGCTGTGCTCTCACCTCCACCGCACTGGGCGCTGCAGTCACTCCAGGAGCCATGACTCCAGCTGAAGCCAGGGCTGCGGCCGCTGAGACTCAGGGGCAGGTAGTACTCATAAAACACCCCAGGGTTGGGCTCCTGGCTGATGAGCTGCATGGGAGGGTCCCCATCTCTGTTCAGGTCGCCCTCAATGGTTCCAGGCAGGGCTCCCACCACCAGCTAACCCCTTCCCAGTCTGCTCACCTCTATGACCAGGGGCTCTGAGGTAGGGCCCCGGGCCTGGAGCCGCTCAGGGGCCAGGTCCCCTTCAGCTCCCAGCTCGTATTGCAGGATGGTGTTAGCCACTGGCAGAGCCTGGGCCTCCTGGATGGTCCAGTGCCCATTGAGGTAGTACTCACCACGGACATTTTTCACGGCTGTGGGAAGGATGGTCCTGGTTGGCAAGATGAGGCAGAGGACAACAGGATGGCTGCCCTGGCCCAGTTCCCCAACCCACCCCTTACCCAGGAAATTCCTGCTGGCAGCGACTTCCTCGATTCGGATGCTGGTAGCCCCTGCGGGAACTATGAAGATCTGGTTGTAGCCTGATGGGGACAGAGATTCAGGTGAGGGGTGCAAAGTTGCCCTTCCCCCCATCACACACATACCCCATCATTCAAACCACAAGCAGAAGTTGCCCCTGGGATGGAAGTGCCACACAGCACAGAAGGAGGTGGGGAGGGCTGGGCTGCTCAGGGGCCAGTGTTCCTGGCAGAGGAAACAGCTTTGCAAAGGCTAGGTGAGCAGAAAGGTAGGGCACCCAGAGCAGGCCGGAAGGGGAAGGAACAATGGGGGAAAGGGTGGGGAGGGGCATCCATGTGTTAGCAAGATTAGATTAGACAGGTGAGCAAGAGTCCCAACAGAAGTGGGCACACAGAGGGGAGTGGGGCTGCTATAAAGTGCAGCCTCCACCCTGCAGCCCTGAGAGGCGCTGTTTGACACGAGTCAAGCCAATAGACCCACTGGGTGCCACAAGGACCACTCAGCCTCAAGCCTTGGCCAGGAAGGAGCCAGGAAAGCTGGAGGCAGGCAACAGACCCTGTCTCAACTGTTTGCAGACCCCCACAAGGACTCCAACCTCTATTGAGGTCATTGGCATCAAAGGTGCCAGTGACAGGGTAGCAGGTCGTGCCGTCACCCCCACACTGCAGACACTTGTCCTCCTGCTTGGGCGAGTCGAGCTTGTGGTCACAGCCAACAATCTGCAGAGGAGGGATGAGGGAGAGGTGAGGGCAAAATGAGAAAGAGCAGAGAGAGAGATGTGGACATGCCAGGTCCAGCTCTGGTTGGCTCAGTACCCATGTGTTCCGGGCAGGACAGGCATGGTCAAGAATTATTCAGCAGGTTGGTGGAGTGGCTCAAGCTAAGTAGAGTGCCTGCCTAGCAACTATAAGGCCGTGAGTTCAAACCCCAGTATTGCAAAAAAAAAAAAAGTTTACTGAAGAATTATTCAGCAGCAAGCCAGGTGACTGACAATTCCCTCAGCTTGGTCCCCACCATTAACCACACTCTGCCTTCCTTTGGAGGCCACCGTTCCCCTACAGACTTTGGATGAGCTCCCCGGATGTGAGGAGCAAACCTCTCTCCTAAGAGAGAGGGTCAGGTAAGCCATAGGTCAAAGGCAGCCCAGGGTGCTGGGAGTCCTGGGATTGCCGTGGGAGCTGCCAGGCTGGTGCGCAGAGACGTGGAGCTGCCATCCTGTTACATCTCATGGGAAGAACGTGCAGGAGCCTGATGGTGACCCAGAGGAGAGTAGGCAAGCAGTGTGGAGAGAGATTTCAGGCAGCATCATTCAAACACCTGCATTCATGCACCCCAGGGTGTTTGGTTTGTTTTTGTTGAAGTCAGTGTCAGCTGGGTTCCTATAACATGCTACCCAGAGTTTCTTTTCTGAGGTTAGCATTCTCAAAGGGCAGAGGTAAGGGGAGCCACATGGCATCAAACTCCTGACAGCTGCCTGGACCTCTGATGCTGCAGGGAGACACCTGCCATAAGCCCCCAGGCAGTGTGGTGGTCAAGGAGGGCCATAACTCACCCGGCAGTTGCCATCCACACAGACATCCCGCTTGCCAGGCTCACAGGGCGTCCCGTCCACCACAGCCTCCCTGTGTCTGTAGTAGAAGTTCTCCCCCTTGGGAATGCAGTTCAGTTCGCACTTGTTTGGGGCTGGGATGGGCAAGAGAAGAAAGCTGAGATCCTGGCCCAAGGCCTAGTCTAGCAGCAGGGAAGCAGGGGCCAGAAACACACACATGGCTTTGAGAGAAGGTGCTTGCAGCAGCTCCTCCCCTGCCCCCCATCCAAAGAGGAAGGGATATTCTCCATGAACCTGCTGCATCTTTGGGGACCAAACCAAAGAGAAATCCACCAGCATAAGGAAAAAACGACATCGTTTATAAAAACGAGCTCAGGTGTTACCAATAGGCTGCTGTGAATTGGCAGTGGAGTATCATGCGTGTTGACTATGCAGTTACAGTGATGAAGTTTGTATATTTGTATGGGAAGATGCTTGTAACGATGCAGAATGGCGATCACTACACTAATTACAAATGTGTAAACATGTTGAGAAGATGCCATGAAAGGGTGAAATGTTAAATAGCGATTCTATGAAAGAGGGAGGATTACAGAAAATGCCTTTGGATAGGGGAACTCACTATGTTGCCCAGGCTGACCTTGAACTCGTGGGCTCAAGTGATCCTCTGCTTCAACCTTCTAAGTAGTGGGGGACTACAGGGTGACTCACTGTAGCAGCTAACCTAACCCAGTTTTGTAATTTTGGGGGAAGGTGCCTAGGATGGATCCCAGGGCTTCACACTTGAAACCACTCCACTGCTAAGCCCCAACCCCAGAAAAGTGACTTTTTTCTTGTATTTACTGTCTAGATATTTCATATACATTGTTTAAAGAGCCCAAAAGTACTAACAGTATCATAATCATGTCCAAAACAAGGCAGGCATCCCTCAACTACTCTTTTTAGCCCTTCCTGTATATTCCAATTTTTCTGCTGTATGTATGTGTAGAAGTTATTAATGTAACTTCGGGATCCAGGAGTACTGACTGCCAAAGGTCCCCGGTGGGTCCGCTCTCCTGGCCGCGGTAACCCCAACAAGGGCACACACACAGAACACATGTTCATCATTAGGAATCAGAGCGCATGGAGGAGCCAAACCTCTCGTGCAGTGCGCAATGATACCAAACACCCAGGCATCTTATGACACATCGAAAAATGTATCTATTTCGTACATGTTGGTGTTTTTTTTTCCTCAACTGTATTTCTGTGTATAATAATCTCACGCCCTCAGAGTTCCCAGACCTCTCCCTCAGGCCCCCCACGACTGGGTAAACAGAATCTTGCTGAACCAAGCCCTTGCCCCTTCCATGCCCTACCCGGCCTGCCCCCACTTCCGCCTCTGTGCAACAGGAAGACAGATCGCAGACAGCCGGCTTTTGCTGCCAGGGCTGCAAACGGATGAACACACCATAGCTCTGCTTGAGAAAATACGCACATATGGGAAAGGCCAGAAGACCTCAGCGCATGTGCGTTGTGATGGGGACATGCAGGTGGCACTGGTGACTTTGCAAGACTTATGTGACAAGATGTCTATAACATGGTGATAAGAACTGAGAGGCAGTTGGGCACCGGTGGCTCACTCCTACAATCTTAGCTATTCAGGAGGCAGAGATCAGAAGGATCATGGTTCGAAGCCAGTCGGGAAAAATAGTTCCGAGAGACCCTATCTCGAAAATACCTAACACAAAAAGGGCTGGTAAAGTGGCTCAAGGTGTAGGCCTTGAGTTCAAAAAAAAAAAAGGAGAAAGAGAGACAGTGTGGACAGTGTGTTCCAGAGATCCCCAAAGCTGGGGCCAGGGCAGGCCCAGTCGGGCGCTCACCGCCATAGTAGGGCAGCCACCGGTATCGCCGGCCCTGGAACTCGGTGCCATCCAACTCCGCGCACTGCTCGGCCCGGAAGTCCCGCGCGCCCTCGGGACAGCTCTGCGAAGCAGATCAGGAAAGTGGGTCCCCAACGTCAGCGCCGGGGGAGGTCCCGATCCCTTCCTGCCCAGGAGCCCAAGGTCCCCAGCCTCAGTCCTCCGGCCCAGGGACCCCGTATGTGGTCGTCGGAGCCACGGCCGACCACGGGGTGCGGGGTGAGGAAGGGGCTCCTGGGCGGACTCCAGAGGGCGGGGACGTGGGGCCGGGGCTCGGGCTTCACCTCGGTGCGGCAGGTTCGGTGGCTCCGGGAGGGGCCCACGCAGCTGGCTCCACCATCTCTCCTGGGGACGAGAACACCGGGAAGACCCCCCTACCCTCCCGCTCCCTCCTGGGGTCCTCTGCAGGCCAGAGGGGCGTCAGGGTGAGGACGGGGTGGCTCACGCACAAATCCCCTCTGGCGAGTGTAATTAGCCCGTGTTCCTACCCAGAAGCGGCTCAGAAGCCTGACTCCTACAGTTTGTCTAACGCTGCTTCATAAAGCAGAGCTCCAGATTTCCAAATTCCACCCTTGGAGCTAAGAGGTAATAAATACCCACGGGAGGGGAGGTGGTCTGCCATGGAAGGAGTAAATCAGCGTCAGCACTCTCTCTCTTCCTCCTCAGTAGGCTCTTAGAAGATGCAGTCACAAAGCCACCCGGGCCCCCACCCTGCAGCCTGCTGTCCTTGCGCCTGCTGGCCCATTCTGGCCTCCTCTACCTGTGGGAGTAGCAGGGGCGCTCCCGGAAGCTGATGCCTCCTCCGCAGGTGCGACTGCAGGGGCTCCACTCGCCCCAGGGCCCCCAACGGTCACTCTGCTGCCTCACATTGGGAACCTGCAGAAGACACGCTCACAGCTCAGGCCAAGCTGCCTAGGGAGTCTCTCTTCCAGCCCTGCCTCTTTAAAACACAGAAACACTACCAGGCACTCCAAAACATTCATTATAAAATTAGTCACTGTCACCATAAGGAGGGGTGAGTCAGCCTGGGAGGGGCGAAAGGGACAAGGCAGCTAGAAAGAGTCTGCCGTTCTGGGGCAGTGCCCATGCTTTGTAGCCCAACAGTGATGTAGGGGAGGGGACCAGAAAAAAAAGAAGGAAAGCGACCATAGGACAGGGACACACAGCTGCATGACTCTGCACCAATCACCAAACCTCACATGCTATGGTTTTCTTAGCTGGCAAAGTAGCTGCCACCAACGACAACATCTCTGTTTGCCAGGCATGGTGAAGGAGGAGAGAGGCTTTTTCCGGGACAGTACAATCTGTCTGGAGAGCCCTTCAATGGTGCCCATGGGTCACCAGAGTGAGCCCTTCCAAGACGGGCATGTACACGGCAGAAAGGACCAAGCAGGTCCTCAGGAGGTGATGCTCTGTCCCTGCAGGGAATGTCACCCACAGGCAGTACAGCACTTCAACAGGGTCCCCAGTGGAAAAGCCACACCACGCCTCATTGCACTCATTGCTCCTGCTTCTGCCCTGTGTGATTTCACTTCCAGAAGTTTCTGTAGCTCTGGCCTTTTAAACTACAAACTTAATATTTTTGGGTGGCAGGCTGGGGGAGGTGGTACTGGGGTTTAAACTCAGGGCCTCATACTTGCTAGGCTCTATCACTTGGGCCACTCTGCCAGTTGTTTTCGTGTTGAGTCTTTTCAGGAACTGTCTGCCTGGGCTGGCTTTGAACTTAGTTCCTCCTGATCTCTGCCTCCCAAGTAGCTGGGATTACAGGCATGAGCCACTGCCACTGGCTAGGGACTTTTTTTTTTTTTCAACTTTCTTTTTTATTATTTATTTTTATTTATATGTGCATACAGTGTTTAGGTCATTTCTCCCCTCTCCCTGGCTAGGGACTTAATCTTATCCTGTGTGTGTGTGGGGGGGGGGGGACTATAGTCTTCCTGCTCATCTGTGGCAGAGATTCCCAGGAGTATCCCAAAATCCATCCCCTTCCTCCCATTGTGAGAGAATATTTGAAAACTTAACTCCTAATTGGGTACTCTTAGCTTAGCTTTCTATAGCTAACTGTGGCTACATCACTAAGTTCTCATCAGTGAGTTATAAACAAAAGTGTTGGGCAGCAGTCTCTAATAATCTCCTTATGAGACAGCTTGCATGTGCATTTGTCCTCTTCTTCCTCCTGTACTCCTTTCTGCTGTCTGGAAGACAGATGTGATGACTGGAGTTGGAGCAGCCTTTTAGACTGTAAAGTAATTTGGGAATGGAGGCTTCAAAGTGAAATAAAGATAGAAGAATCCTAGAGCCTGGAGGACTTTGTGAGAGAGAGCAGTCCTGAACTTCCAAACCCTAGGTCTTTATGTGACAGAGGAATTATGTCTGTTTTGGTAAAACACTGTTACTCGAGACTACGCACAGGAATATAAACTTAACAGATAAGGTTTTCCTTATCCGACACTTTGCAGCTGGAATCAGATAGCCACATGCTCACCTGAACTCTTCATTTAATCCCACAACGTCAGACCCTACTGCATAAGAAAATGAGGCAGAGAGAGAGGAAGCTGCAGAGTAAGAAGAGAGCACCAGGGCAAGTCACCTCTCTCTAGGTCTCTGCACTTATCCTGAGGTCATGCCCCTTCCTGCCTCTCAGGACAACCAAATGAGACCCTACATAAGCCCTGAGTCCCTGGACAGGGGTTCAACTGGACCTTACAGTTTCGACAGGAGGCAGATGATGTTCTGCAAACTTGTCCCGTTTGCTGGAAGGGGACTTGATTTTACCATGCCACCACATAAGAATCTTTAGAAAAAAGTCACTCCCATTCTCCCATTCCCCTCCCCGCACCCAGGCCTCTCAACTCCCTCCCCCCAGGTCCCGGATGAGGAGGGAGGATGGTTCATCTCTAATGCCTGTAGTTACAGGTGCTTTTAACAGATCAGAGCCAGATGCACCAAACTTGCTGAGCCACACACAAAGCTGAGACAGAGAAGAAAGGGGCAGCCAGACCAAAGGTTCACCTTTCACTTGTGAATCATGTGCTCCTACAGTTTAGCTGGGATGGAAGCTCCAACTTTCCAAGCCAGAGAGAACCAAGGAGAGCCTCGCATTCTCAGTGAATGGGTTGTACTTGGACTAAGTCCCTATTATAAAAGGGAAGCCTTTGCATGGTGGGGATAGAGTCCACCTGGACTCTGGCTCAGATCTCCCCCAACAATCAGCCTCATTAGCACATGGGAAGAATTCAGGAGGTACCCCCTGCCCTCTCATGCTGCTGGCCTGGGCCTAGCTGTTACTGACTACCCAGGGCCTGTTTGGACATCTGTATGGCTCCTTAGCACAGCAGCCTCCCCAAATCCACCCTTCCCCAAGATGGAGCTGGGTGAGCTGGTGAGCCTCGTTGCCTTAACAAGGACACACAGGCCACGGAGCCACCTTCAGAATGAGGGGGAACTGGCCTGAACACAGGGCTCTCTAGGGCTGAGGCACCTTACAAACATCTTCCTGCTTCCTGTGTCCAGCCCCTGTGGGTTGGCAGTCCTATTGCAGGACCACTGAGGAGCTGTGGTCTGTGTTTGTCTGCATGACCCTAAGCTGTCTGGATGCACCTCTCCACACCATCTCTTCTCTTCCAGAAGGAAACAGGTTCAGTCACGAGCAGCAGCAGGAGCACATTTTGTTCCCTGTAATTACCCAAACCATGAGCTGCTGCCGCCGCTGAGTGGTGTGAAGCAGAGGAGCTGATACAGCCTGGGCCTGTCCTCACCTGTCTCCTCTGCTGTCAGCACCCTTCCCATTCCTCCTCCAGTTCCCTCCTGGATGGACTCAGGAGACCTGTTCAGCCCCTTATTTCCAGAGAAATCTGCTGCCCACTGTGCATGGGATGGGGGGAGGGGATAGTGAGTGACCCTGAGAAGGTTGCTTGGGGTCTCCAGGTGGATCCTGCCCCAGCTAGAACCAGAATGGGAGGCCACACACCCTCTACCAGACAGCCAAGCCAGGCCCAGCCCATCTAGGACTCACACACTGGGAGACAGGAGGCAGGAGAAGGCTACTTGGGGTATTGCTAGGGGCAATCGTCAGGCCTTCGTCAGCCCTGATTCATTGCTGACATCTGTGGGATGGACATTCTAACTCTCAAATCAGAGGAATCTAAGGCTTGTGACTTGGCTGGGGTCGCGCAGCTGTTGTGGGTGGCTCTGGGGTGTCATCCTGGAGTCTTGACACTCATCTTGGCCTCCACCTGGGCTTTGGCATATATGCAGCTGGGGCACCAGCACATGCTGAAGGACCTCAGCTGGCATTTGGGGAACAAGCACAATGACGTAGGGAAAGTGACATGGGAGCTGGCAAGTGGTGAAAAGGACACAAGAAAGGATGGCTACAGCACTCTCTGCTCTGACTGTGGCCTGTGTTTAATCACCAGCTCTTGGAGGACCGCTCAGTACCCACCTCTGACACCAACCCCTGCCTGCTGTTCTTCCTCTCCATCTACACTTCAACAGCCGTGGCATTGCCCCTGCTCTCCCCAGGCAGGAAACAGTCTAGGTCCTTCTCTCTCACTGGTGCCAGGTGCACAGAAGGTGGGCAGAGCTCTGTCACCTCCATCGAGCTCTCACAGGAAAGGACAGGGCCTGGTTGACTCTGTGCTCTCTGTTATGTTCAGCACCCAGCTCAGCAGACCCTCTCCTCCCCACAGTGGATCCTACAGTCTAGAACCTTCCCTGCATATCCATAGGACCCAAATATGTTCTCCAGGTAGCCCTGCAATGAACTAACTACTCTGATCACCAGTTGGCTGCCTGTAAGTTTGCATTAATACAGAAATCGGAAGTCACCAGTCACATGAGGCTATTTAAATGAATTAAATTCAAATAACTTTAAAAGTGCCTCAGTTGCACTAGCCACATTTCAAGGATACAATAGCCACAAGATCTACGGGCTACCTACTGGACAGCAGACATCCAGAACATTCCCATAGTCTCTGAAGGCTCTGCTGGACAGCCTTGCTTAGGTACAAACCCCCAAAGGAGAGGCAATGACAGGCACTCCAACCTCTACCCAGCTGCGGGGCAGCCTATTTGGCTCCAAGGGTGGTAGGTATCCTCAGGACAGGGCCATTTAGCTATTTGGAAGAGAGCAGAAGCCAGGGCCCCACGAGTGTGCCCACCCCCTTCCAAAAGGAGAGGTGGGTGGGAAGCCACCTCCAAGGTGCCAGCCCTGCTGACGGAAGTGGAGGGCGCGGGTTGGCCCCTCTTAGCCATCTTCGTGGCATTGCCCTTCTCCTCGGGACGTGGCTGCTACATTTCGGCAGGCACCAGGCTCCAGCCTGCCTCCCTGGGCCTCCCCTACAGGGTGCTCCCTGGGCGGGCGCGGCTGCACTCACCGAGGACCCGGGTTTGGAGGCCAAGAGCAGAGGCAGGAGCAGGAGCAGCCGCATTTCAGCCTGCGGGAGAGGACGCGGGTTAGAGCTGGCCAGGCGGGGTCGGGGCGCCCCTCACCCCTATGCCGCAGCTGTCCAGAGTGCCGGCGCCAGAGCGTGGGCGTGACCCTCCCTCCCGCGGGCCACAGGTGGCCATGAGACCGCACAGGGACCGCAGGAAACGCCAGGGTGCGCAAGAGAAAGCAGAACTTGTGCGTGCACCACCCGTGCAACTGACACACGTGGGAAAGAGAGGGCAAGCTGACAACTGGCAGAAATTCAGGAACAACTTGTTTCAGGATTCCAGAGAAAATAAAAGGGCAATTAAAAACAATTCTGCGTTGCGAAAAAACAGGGCGTTCAGAATCAAAGTAATCAGGCTCGATGTTTTAATTTACCAAGAGATTCCGTTTTAAAAAACCATTTTGGCCGGCTGCCGATGGCTCACGCCTGTAATCCTAGCTGATCGGGAGGATCATGGTTCTAAACCAGCCCGGGAAAATAGTACACGAGACCCTATCTCGAAGGAGCCCATCAGAAAAAAAGGTTGGCAGAATGGCTCAAGTGGTTGAGCACCTGCCTCTAGCAAGCGTGACGCTCTGAGTTCAAACCCCAGTGCCACCAAAATAAAAAAATAAACAATAAAAGCCATTTCATCAGTTGTTCGAAAGCGAATGGATAAAATGATAGATTTGCAACTCAGTTTTAATCACCAAAAAAATGATTTTTTTTTTTAAAGACAGTCCCTGAAGACAAACTAGAGGCCTTGGGTTCTATTCCAAAAAAAAAAAAAAAAAAAAGAATCCTACTGTGTTTTTTTGAGTTTTTTTTATTCATATGTGCATACAATGCTTGGGTCATTTCTCCCCCCTCCCCCCTTACCGTGTTTTAAACCCAAGCCAGCATTTCCCACGGGGAAGCTCCATCAGCTCAGCAGTGTGTGTACCCACGCGTGCCCAGTGCGGTGTGCATGGTGAATGCAGTGTGCACGTGTGCAGGGCAGTGTGTATACCTGTGTAGTGTGGTGTGAGTGTGCGTGCGATGCAAGCCTGTGTGGTGTGGTGAGGGTTTTGTGTGTTTTGTTTGTTTCTTGGTGGATCTGGGGGCTTTGGGCTTGCAAAGCAGGCACTCTACGGCTTGTGTCAAACCTCCAGTGGATTTTGCTTTGGTTATTTTGCAGATGGAGGTCTCACGAACTATTTGCCTGGGCTGGTGTTGAACTGTGATTCTCTTGATCTCAGCCTCCCAAGTAGCTAGGATTACAGTCGTGAGCCACGTGCGTCCAGCTGGTGTGCGTGTTTTAGGCTGCACGCCACTGTGTGTGTATGTCACTGTTTCGGAGAATGACATACGCAACGTTGTGATTCAGTACAAAACATTAAACAGGCACCGACTTGTAGGCTGAAATTTAAAAATCTGTACTTCTACCAACGTTCTAAGTTTTTTTAAATAAAATAACTTCAGGTTAAAGGATAAAATAGAGCATTCAAATGACAAAATCAGCAAAATTTACCCTGGTCCATTAACCCACCCGCGTACGCGATAATTTGGCACCAGTGGCGATGCATTTTGGTCACTACTTTCAGAGTCCAAGCGGAGGTTCCTAGGGTTGGCGGGGTGAGGGAGGCGGGGGCGGGGAAGTGGCGCTGCCACAGAGGCCACTTTCTAGGGCTGATGACCAAAGAGGCGTCCCTACCCAAGACAAGCCTTTAGGGGCGGTGAGCTCTGCCAGGGGGAGAGACTGAAGAGACAGGAGCAAAGAGGAATTGTACTTTAACTGCTCCCAGCGCTACCACCGCTGCCACCGCGCCGGACTACACCCCCACATCTGCAGTTCCAAAGTCCCGGAAGCAAGAAAAGTTCCGTGTTTTTCAGCCCATGGGGTGACACGAGCCGGACACACGTCGAACTCCACGGCCAAACCTTGGTCCGGCCACCGGGCCACTCTGCAGGCCAGGCAGCCTGGATCTCCCCTGCCGCTTCCCAGGGCGGGGCATAAAGGCGGACTCCCCAGACGTCGCATTCTCGAGGAACCCCGTCATACCGACCCAGGGCGAGGGCGTAGCTTCTGGGGCCGGTAGTGGGAACTTGAGGAGTAGGACACCGACCAAGCAGCTATGCGCCTTCCCTCGGGGTCCGCCTAGGGGCTCCGCATCCCCGCACCGTCCCCAAGTGAGGACTGCCGGGCTCTTGTGTCCTCCGCGTCAGGCTGTCGCCGGCGTGTGCCCCTTCCTGACCCGGCGTCCCGCGTTCCCACTCCAGCGCAGGGATGCGGCGCCCACATGCAGCCCCGGGGTGACCCCGCAGGTACTGGCTCTCGTGCTCCCAGCCACAGCCCCAGCGGTACATCGGCAGGGGACGCGCGGGGAAGGAGGCGGGAGCGGGAGCGCCACCCAGCACCAGCCCCGCCGAGACCTCAAGCCTCGGTCTAATACCCGCGGTGACCCAGCCCTGCGACCACCTCTGCGCGAGAGCCGGAGTTGGGGTCTCCCCTGGGTCCCAACCCCGCAATCGCCGCGAGCCAGACGAGCCAGGCGGGGCACATTCCTGCAGAGGCCCGGGCGCGCCATCCCGCCGCTGGCGTCGGTCCCTCGGCTTCCTATTCCTACCTGTCTCCGCGAGCGCCCGGAGCACAGCGCCACCAGGGCCACCCGGTCCGTGGCCGCCCAGTCCCAGCCGCAGCGCAGCCCCGAGGTCCACCTGGCCGCGCGCAACGCCCGCAGAGGCTGGACTTTCTCTCCCCGCCGCTGGCTGGCTCCCTCCCCGCCCATCTTCCCCCCACCCAGCCCTGCTGACACCCACCTCCAATCCATCTCCAATCCCCGGGGAGGACAGTGCCCCCGTGGGGAGGCCCCGTGGTGCCCGGCGATGCTCCGTGCCTCCACCCCTTGGGTCCGTGCCAAGGCTTGGCTTATCCACCATTCCGTGGGCTTCTGGTGTTCCCGTCTTGGGTCTGTGCCAGTCACCCCTTCCCCAAGCCCTCCAGTTCTTTGCCAGGACCCCTCCTCATCACACCTCTCACACCTGACACACCTGTCCATCCGTGTCCAGCCACCTCCCTGTCTCCTCTCTGAGTTCTGTACTTCAACCACAAGTCAGTTTCTCTGTACACACACTGCTCTTTCCCACTTCTCAGCCAACTGTTGACTGTCTAGAAAGTACTCTCCCAGTCCCCTCTCCAACTCCTCATCTTTCAGAACCCTGGTCAAATATCATCTTCTTCTGAAGCCTTCCCTACACCTCTGCAGGCAGAGCACCCCCTGCCCCTTTGGTCTCTGTCCCTGTCAGCTGTAATTCTGCAGCACCTCACATCACCTAGAGGGAATCTGACAAGCTGTGAGTTGAGGGAGAGTAAGGCCTGCATCCTCACACCTGTGCCCAAGGCACTACTTGGCATCAAGGTTCAGGCTCAATAAATGTGGTAAATTTAATTTCCTTTCCTGGTTGTCCTATATTTTCTCAACAAGACACTCCTTGCCTGCCATTCTTTTCCTGAAACTGGAGTTCACCCATCCCTAGGAAACTGGCACTGGTCCTGGGCCTGCGGGAGGTGGTGAGGTCACAGAAGCTGGTCCCCTTCCCCCATCCTCTCCTGCCTTTGCCCTCTTGCTGGCTGGCCCTCGCATGAGTCACTTCTTCAGGCAGCAAAAATTCTCCATCGCCTGAGTCCTGCAGATGCACAGACAGTATGCTAGCTAATCAGGAGCCTCTTGTATCAGGCCCTTTCCTACCTAGCAGTGCAGAGAGGCAGGGCAGCAGCTGTCTTAGGACTCCCTGGGGAGTTGTGTGAATTCTTAGGCAAAGATAAAGCTTGGCAGAGAAAACAGAAAGGAAATTATCCAGAGCCTTTCTAAGAAAAGAAAATAGTTTCTTCCATTCAAAAAGCCCTACTCCCTGCCCCCATCTTCTGGGACCTTTCTGAACTTGGTCAAAGGTCAGAAAGTGTGATGAAAGGAGACTGACTCCTGTGGGGGGGGGAGGGGGGGGGACAGCTGAGGCCCTTGGTTTTCCTCTGCTTCCCTCTCCTCAGATGCCCCCAGATCCATGATTCCAACTTCTCACCCTACCTGCAAAGAGGCACTTGAGGCTGGGTGGTACACCTGCTCTGCGGCTCATTGTGTGTGAACTTTGGCAAGTCAAGTCACCTCTTTAAGTCAAACTCTGTTTAGATGAGCCTCCCACAGAAGGAGGTAGATGGAAGTAACTGGCTTCTGTAAAGTTTCCTGCTATGAGTGGAACAATAGTTCCTTCTGCCCCATCCCCCGAGCTTTATCCTTAATTATAACTCTATATTTTGATCATTTCTCAGATTGCAGATCCAGGAACAAAGCTAAGAAATAAGTGAGCAAAACCAGGCATGGTGGTACACATCTATTATCCCAGCATTCAGAAGGCTGAGGCAGGAGGATAACAAGTTTGAGGCTAGCCTTGGCTACTTAGTGAGATCCTGTTTCAAAAAAAAAACCAAAAAGGTGGGCTGGAAGTGTGGCTGAAGTGGTAAAGCAATTCCCTGGCAAGTGGGAGGCCCTGAGTTCAAACTCTAGTACTGAAAGAAAAAAAATGGAGGAGGAAAGAAAATAAATAAGCTGACAGATCTCTTTGTGTGTGTGGGTTGGGGTGGAAGACTTCCAAAGGAGAGGGAGAGAGGCTGAACCCCAAGAGCCTCAGGCTCCAGGAGTCACCTCCTCCCAGAAGCTTTCTTTTCCTCCTCCCTCTATGCTCCTGTGCACCAGGGTTTGCCATGGCACCACAGTGATGTATTTCTCTTTCTCCCTCTAAACTGTGAACTTTGCAAGGGAAGAAATCTGTCTTTTCCATTGTTGTTCCCTGTTTCTGGAGGCTGGCCTCCAGAGAGCATTGTGGGAAGGCCAGCCAATGCCAGTCTTCCGGGAGCCTGGCACCCTTCCAATATGCCAGGCACCCTGCACATTTATCTTCATGGGCATTTCCACCTATTGCTCTCTTATACATCTAACCCCCTGTTGGCATCTGCTTCTTGGAAGGAAAACCCCAGCTGACCCACACAGCGTCAGGTCCTTAGCGGAAGGACACAGGGCGCTACAGAATGGATAGGAAGTCTGGAGAATCAGGCATGGAAGTGAGCTGAACCCATGGAAGTGAGCTGAACCCCTGCCAGAGTTACAGATGGTGGCTCAAGACCAGCTCTGAAAGCAAGGGGCCAGTGGCTCACGCCTATAATCCTAGCTACTCAGGAGGCGGAGATCAGGAGGTTTGCAAAGCCAGCCCGGGCAAATAGTTTTCGAGACTCTATCTCAAAAATATCCTATCACAAACAATGAGACTGGTGGAGTGGCTCAAGGTGAAGGCCCTGAGTTCAAGCCCCAGTGCCAAAAAAAAAAAAAAGAAAAGACCAGTTGTGTTTGGGACCTCTCATGCTGGACATGAAACTGCTGCAACCATCATAACAGATAGCACTGACTCATGCCCCTCTACGCAAACCTGGATGCTCTTGATCAACTCAAATCCAAGAAACAGGACCAGGCAGGTTCCCTCATGGGACACTCAGATGCTGGGCTGCCCCCAGAAAAGCAACAGCCTCTGTCTCCCTGCGACCCCAGCGTGATATTTGTGGGGCTTGTGTAGAACTTGAGCTGTGGTGTTCATTCATGTATTCTTGCCTCCAGTGTCCAAGGGCCAACTCTGCCCTAGAAGTCCCTGCAGGAGACGCACTGCTGCAGTCCATCAAGTTCCAGGTGGGAATGCTCCCCTTGACTGTTTCCAAGCTATGAGGTGGTGGCGCCAGACACGGGCTGGGAACAGAGGCACAACCCCAGCCTCGATCTGCACTAGTTTACACTGTGGGGTTGCATCTACTGCTGTGTGTTAATTTAGACTAAAACCAATCTTATAATCTGAATATCCAACTATTCTATAACAGTTTGCCTTAATACAGATGGTCTCCAACCTAGCATGGTTTGGTTATAATTTTTCCACTTTACAATGGTGCAAAAGTTGAAAGCGATACACAGTCAGTAAAAAGGTACTGTTGTGAATTTCACTCTTTCCTAGGGTTAGTATGTGCACTGTGATTTCCCATCGGAATGCTGGTCAGCTCCTGGTCAGCTGTGCCATCACCAGGGTGACAGCTGACTCTCTGCAGAGTGCTGTGTCACTCAGCTGTCATGTTTGGGGAATAAATTCGTTTTCCACTTCGGATATTTTCACCTGACAATGGTCTTCTTCGTTATCCCATCATAAATTGAGCAGCATGTCTTGTAGCTGTTCAAAGGTTGGGGAGCAGTCATGTGAAACCTGAGGTGCAGCCCTGCCCCTGTACTCCATTCTGTGCCTCTAGCTGCCACCTCAACTCTCCTTTCTCCCTCTTATTTGCATAAACCAGTGGACACTTTGAAACACCAACCCAAGTCACCACAGCAAGAACTCAGTGCTCAGTATATCTGACAAGTGACTGTCATACCCACCTGAGGGGGAAGTTATTGTCAAAGGTGGGACAGAAATGTCACTCCCTCACTGTTCCCACAGACAAGGGGGCTGTCCAGAGAAAAAGCAGGAATGCCTAGAATCATCCCTCAGTGACCTTGGGCCTAGTCTGTGCCCACTTCATCTGCCCCTCCTCAATTCAGGTCTCTAGAAAGGAAACAGGGCGAGGGGCGGGGAAGGGGAGAGGCTGTGGGGAGAAGCAAGTGGAGGCCAGGAGAGCAGTGAGACAGAGGGCAAAGACCAGGTCCCTTCCTTCCACTGGGAGCATTCATACTCTCCCTCAGTGAGGACAGGGCCGTAGTCTCTTTAGAGGATCTGGTTGTCTGAATTCCTGGAGGGTAGCTGGCAGGAAAAACCCACTTAGCTTCCCCAGTGCAGCAGGGGTTCAGGGTCCAGACCTCATAAGGGTGGGTGTGAGATGTGGAGCCTGCCCATAGGGCATAGGCCTGGAGGGTGTCTCCGTGCCTCACAGCTCAGAGCAAGCCCAATGCCCTGCAGCCTCAGGGCCTAGGCTAGGCGCAGTGAGCCAGCCAGTCCTTGTTCTCTTGCTGTATCACCTGCTCTGCTGCTGCCTGGCTGGGGATTGGGATTGGTGGCCCCAGGGACCTTAGTCAAGGTCCTGGAGATCTCTTCCTCTTAGTCTCAGTCTCTACCCTGAGCCCTTCTCATCTCCTGTGCCAACTCAGCATCAGTAAGTGGATGGTTGCAGCCCAGACACTCAGAGGCTGCCAGTACGTGGGCCAGTCTGGGAACATGGCCAAGAAAGACAGGGCCCAGAACCTCCCAAGGCCCTCAGGTTCCAAAACACAACTTGAGGAGGGGGAAATAATCTTGCACTATTTGCCAATGCTTCTCTCATTCAGTACTGTTAGGACCTGTTTTCCTGGACCCCTATTTCATTTTATTTGTTTACTTCTTACAGTGCTGGGGATCAAACCCCAAGCCTAGAGCTAGTCAAGTGCTCTACCACTGAGCCATTCCACCCAGACCCCATTCTTATTTTTCATCTTTAAATCCTTTGATCAAAAAATCAAATCAGCAAGTCTATCGCTTTTCCAGGCCAAACACTGCTTAAACAGAATAGGAAAAAAATGACATGAAAAATATTTTACAAAATGTACAAAGCACCCCATAAAGACATGCACACGTGTGATGGACTGCTATTTTGAAGTAATGCTGTTTTAAGATGTAGAGACATGGGTCCTGGAGGGGCTCAAGTAGTAGAGTGCTGGCCAGTATGTGTG